AATATTTATTTTGAACTAGGTACTAGATCAAGGTTATATACAGTGTGATCTTTGTAAATAATGTGCTTATGAAGTTTGTATTTTGCATGCGTCGAATAACGTAGCTAAATCCGAAATCCCTTTAAAGCTTTAAAATTTCCTTTAAAAATTAAGCATCAGAACTGTTTGTCCGCATATGGGGTAAAAAAGAACAAATGACAAATTTAGAAAAATAGTAAAAAAAATATTTCTGTAATGACTCTGTAATTTACTGGGAATTTTACTGAACATAGTTTGCTAGATGTTTGTTTGATTTGTGTCAAGTGTTGTGATGTAGTTCATAGGGATTAGTATAATAACAAAAATTATTTATTAACCATTATTTTTATACTTTTATACATATAATTATATTTAACATACATCAAATATAAAATTTAATAGTGACTAATATAAATAATATTCATTAACAACCGAGATGAAAATGTTGAAAACTCATTTACAGATTCTAATTTTATTTTTAATGGCTGATTTATTGACTCATTGATAAACTTGTAAACCAATTCAAATTGAATTCAATTCAATTAAATAGCCTACGGTAATAGTTGTAACTTATTTATCGTTTTATTATAATTACCTAGTATTGCTTAATTGAGATATACCAATGCGAAAGTTCATAAGTATAACTAATAAAATTAATTTAATTCAATTGAAAATAATTTTACCCTATATATGCTTAGTTTTTATTATGAAAAAGTAGAGATTTAGTAGGTAGAGAAAATCATTCGATTATAAACATATATACAAATAAATGTTTCTTGGTCAACCAATTGTAAATAAGTTTATTGCGATGTAATTATTATGTGGTTTTTATTACTAAGAGACAGTGATTATTTTACACTTTGCAAGAAATTTAGTGCACAAATACTTGACATTGTATTAAATGCAATATGGATATATAATTCAAAAGTTACCCTTAAACATTCCTGAGAAAAATAACCTTGTATTTATATTACGTAGTTATAGAATTTATTTTAACTCTCCTTCGATAAACTCAGGTTGTTGGGTTATAATTTAACCCATGTAGCTGTGGACTGTTTTAAACACTGATTTGTTTGTATATTATGTATTTGTTGCAGTTCTTATTACAATCACTGATTTGTCACTAAGTTATTATGAAAGAAGATATATTTATTGGTTATTTATTAAACATGTTGTTTTGCCGACTTTACTTTTAGAAGTGGACAATTAGTCCATCTAAAAACTCCGCTACCCCCTCTACCAGGGATAGCAACTATTCCGTGTAAAAGCTCAATGCCATGAAGGTTGTCATCTTCATTGCCAATATAATAAAACGAAAATACGTCCGAAAAAACTCTAATATTGATTTTTTAATATTGAAGTAATGAAGATAACTTTTTATCTATTAAATATTAAAATGTTGTCAATCCCTGACAAAATGCACCCACATAGAGACCGGCGCGACTGCATTAACGAATGATAATACATTAGTGGGTCTGCATTCGAGACGGCCATACATATGCATACCAATTTTACAAACGAATATATGTATAGACTGAAAAGAGTGCTCTATTGTTTGTCGTTATACTGGCTGGTCAAAAGTCAGTGCATTTATTCACTCAACCTAGACTTTATTGCTTTCAAAACTTTTATAAAACACAGGATAATATACATTTTCTGTTATAAGCAAAAAATGAATTTCATAATTCATAAATTTGCATTTTACTACAAATTTTGTATTTATTAACCAATATTTTTATAACCAAATATATATTTATATTGTTTTGATTATATATTATGATATATTAATAAAAAACAAAACTGTTTTTTTGACCTCACTTCACAAAAAAAACTAGAGTTAAGCGGTTAACCAAATGCCTCTTTGCGACCAACTTTTTGTCAAAAAACTTTTTTTTAATAATGTTTTCTCAAATTGTTATCATCCATAAGCTACTCCTAAAGTCTACAAAATTAATTAATTAAAAATATATTGTACATTAAATTTTTATCATTATTATAGTTTACTATATTATCATTAGCTATTATATATTAATTGTAGTCCTCCTTATTGATATATCATATTCTGTTCGCAATCATCTTTGTTAAACTTTTCTTCATTATTTTTCCATCGTTTACTCTATAATACCCTTATATTTGCATAAAAGCCCAGTATCTTGAGCCAATAAAAATATTGATAAATTTCAAATAATTTTTATAATAAAACAAGGTAAATAAATTTAACTAATAAAAATTTCATGTCCTTTATTTGAAACATCAACAGCGAAACACATTTCTAATGCTTAATTATACTTTTATACTTTTTTCTTATGGTCCCTCAAAATTGCTGTATGTTCTTTTTATAATAATAAATTGTAATTCATAGAAAAGAAATAAAAAATTATTCAAGATAATAATTTTAAACTAGATGCAAAAATTAATTCGAAAAACTAATTAATAGACCCATGGTATTTTATCAAGGTTTAAAGGCACTGCAAAATTAATCAGAAATTGAAAATCACATTCGATGTTCTACATATCTACATATCAAAATGTATTTATCATAAAAGTTTTCTTTTCGGGATTCAACTTTATAATAAGCAAGTTTTTTTTCATTTTTTAATCAAAATCTGTCACACTTAGGACATTCAGTAATTGTTTTCACTTTATTATATGGATTGTTGAATGTATGGCAACCCAATAGTTGTCCAATCTAATTATGACTAATTAACTATACTCGAAGTGTTTGCTGACATTTATATGCATTATGTATATGATACTTTACATACGAGATGCGATTTTAACTTGACGCTATATTTGAGATCTATAACTTCAAGTGGAAATTTGACATCAAAGTCGCCTGATGTCAACCTTTGCGGTAGCGGGAATCGAACCTGTTAATTTGATGTGCATTAGCATAATAATCATTTTTACCACCATTTTTTCAAACTTTTCTTATTGTATCTCCGAAGCACCTGGACCTGTCTTTACAAAATTTTCACTCTTTCTTTATTCCGTCAATTCAAGTGAAATGTTTTTTTGAATCAAATCATTCAAATTTTGAGAATCTTCGTGTGACATAGTGCTGTACGGGTCCGTGATTACTATGCAACATCTGAATGAATCCGTTTCAAGGTTCGTGTCATCGCTTCGTTTAGTACGTAATTCAGTATCGCATCGAAACGACGACGTCAGACCATAATAACTCCAAAATAATTATTTCTGATTCAAAACCTCCGACGGACGATAATTGTTGGGAGGCGCATCATGTCAGGACCGGACTTGCAGTTTATATTGAAATTTTAAAGTTCTTACTTTACATATCAGATAGATTAAACGTCGATTTTTTGTATATTATAACAACTCGCAATTCAGTGCCAGAAATTTTCAAATTGCTCTTGCAATTTGCAATAGATCCAGTCGCATATATAAGCTAACTTTATTATAATATCACTTGCTCATCTATCCCTCTAGATCCCTATAGGACCCTATAGTGCAGGAACAAAAGTTTGCGATGGCATACCGAATTTTAGTCAAATCTCAGCTTGAAAACAAATAAATTAGTATTCGTTTTCTGTCTCTCACGATGTCAAGTATAATATAATTGTATATCGACTCTAATGGTTTCCTACGTACAATTAAGAACTCTGAATGCAATGCAATATACGAATTATTCATGCTAAGCTTCAAGTTAAGAAGTTACCCAGCTTTAAATTAAGTCTTAACTTCTTAACTCCTAAGAAGTTACACAGATATTTTTTTCATTTGAATAAAATCAATATTGTAGCGCTATCGATAATAGCCCATAATAAAAAATGAGGTTTTATAATTCCTTTTTAAGTGTAATGAATTTATTTTCTATAAATACAACTTCTGAAGCATGTATAGATTTTGACCACATTGAGAGGCCAATTTATCTAGTGAAATAGGTACGATATCGGTCTCTTTTGTTGAATAATGCTATATTTGGTAATCAAAAGTCGAAGAGCTATGTCTGTCGTGTTCAATCGTATGATTTACACTATATCGACTTCTGATATCTAACCTCTAAATGTCACAAACGTCAGAAAATAACTTTATTCGAAATGTTGGCGTGTTAATGTAACACTCCAAAGCGTGTTGTTTTTATGTAGTCATTTTTGATCCCATTTTTGGCGTGATAATATGACAACATAGGGTGTGTTACTTTAACTATAAGTGTCTTCTCTGTTAACACTTTTAGGGTTATTAAATAATACATTTTAAAGAAATAAATGATTAAAAGTCCTGTGATGTGTTGTCATAATAACACGATAAAAGTGGAATCAAAAGTGATACATAGAAATAACACGCTTTGGAGTGTCCAATTAACATGCCAGCATTTACAACGAAGTGACAACAAAAAAATGAGGTTATTATAACATTAATGTAATTTTTTTGTAGTATTATTATATTATTTTATTATTTATTATTATTATTATTATCTATGATTATTATTTTTAATTACTATTTTAATGTTATCTTTATTTATTCTTATCTAGTTTATTCTTTTTTAATTTATATACTTTAGCATAGCAGCTCCTAGAATGTAATTACTGTTCTGATTGCTGTATAATAATAAATGAATAAAAAATAAATAAATAAATAAAATTATAACATTGTTATTTGACATCTGTGCCATTTGGAGATGAGGTTTTAGAAGTCGATATAGTGTAAATCGCTATATTTAAAAAGATTTCAAAAATGAGTACTAATTTGGATATACTATAACATAACATAACTATTTCACCTGAAGAAATTGCCCTCGAACCAGTTTTTTTTAAATATAAGCTGAAACAATGAAAATAGTCAAATTATTTTTAATGCCAAAAAAATTGTCGAATTTTTGTATTCCTCTTTCTGTAGACGACAGTAATGGATGCGTTTGCGTTCAAAAATATAATTATTTTTGGAACCAATAATCGAGTAGTATTCTACTATATTTCTTATATATTTTCATATAATATTTTTTCTCTTTTCTTTCCCAGGTTACAACAACCATGGCACCGATTCGTCTCCCCCGCCGGCTGGTTCCGGCGACCCTGGCGCGCAGGTGCAACACGGACCAGGTTCACCCTACCTGCATTTACCCGTTCAACGACGGACGCCCTACCCACTCAAAGAGGGTGAGTGCTAACTGATAAGAATCATAATCATGTTAATAATCATGATGGTACTTCGAAAAGGCGTTAGAAATAAATTAGCTTCTTGAACAATTAGCAACCTAATTGAAGAGTCGACCTCTAGAATTTAAAATGTTTTGCCTTTTGGAAATAAGTAAAAACTTTTCTATAACTTAAAAAAGAAATAGCTGAGAAAAGAATTTTTTTAGCTCTTATGTACTCAACAATACTATTTTGAAAACTGGTGATAAGTAATTTTGTTAGTGCCACATTATATTGAAAATAAACTTTTATATGTTTGTATAATACACGGTGTTCCATGGCGTAACGGCTCAACGCACTGCCTTGTGTGGTCCACGCTCTGAACCTGGTATCGTGCAGTATCGATGTCTATTTTCACTTGAAAATATAGATCAAAAGTATATTTCAAATTGAAAATTGCCCGTTTTGGGCACTGCCTTGAGAAGTTGCACATTTTTAAGAGAATTGATGAAGTATTCAGAAATTTCTGACCTCCTAAGAGTCTGACCATTTCTGACTTTTTAAGAGTTGACCTCTAGAATTCAAGATATATTTGGCTTTTGGAAACAAAAGAAAATATTCCGGTAATAAATAATTGCTGAAAAAAGTCTTTAAATAATATGCACTGAACAATACCTACTATTTTCAAAACTGCTGAAATGTCGTTTCGGAATCAGAATTTCTAACAAATATATTAATTTTATTAGAAATAATATTTTTTATTTTTATATATGTATTACAAAATACAATATTTAAGTACATCTAGTAGAATCAGGCTTTTGAAAGTTACAACGTTGAAAATGTTAGATAAAATTGTATCACTTTGAGTTTCAAATTAGACCTATGAAGCCGTTAGATTATAGTTTCCCAGATTTTTTGTTTCGAGGACCCATTGGGCTTTGCCAAGGACCCCCTATTTACCTATTAACGATTTTTTTTAAATAAATGTCTAAATGTATGTATGATTCTTTTTGTTGATTTGAATCCTCTGAATGTTGTCACGAATCCGAGGGGTTTATGTGGACCACTTAGGGAATTACTGCATTTGATAGACAAGCATAAAATCAGAAATGATTAGTTGCTATCCAAAAAACAACATTTTGTGCAGTTTTATTGCTAACAATTTTTTATCGCATCTAAAATGAAATTTGCTGACAAATGAGAAATGTATGTGTGGTTCACATAATTTGCTTTAAACCATTTCGAGCTTCAGTGTCCTTTATCTTCCGAATGCGGTTTTAGATAAAAATTACAAAATGTTGCTATGGTGGTCACTATTGTACAGAGCTTTTGTGATTAACTCGAATGTTATCGTTTAGTGTGGGATTTTTTGTGCTGCTTTATCTCTATTCTGTTCTCATATGACTTATTAATATAATCATTTCATAGATATGTTATGCGCCTGTAATGTGAAGATAAAACAAGAATATCATTGTTATTTTTGTAATTTATTTTTGCTCGTAGAGAACGAGTTGATGGGCCTTTTGTCTAAAATATAATATGATTAATTTTATCTAATACTATGATCTACTGTTACTTAGTGTCATTTTTTTCGGAATTCAGCTTTACTGATATTAAAATTAAAAATAATTTAGTTTTTGGCCGATTGTTATAAACATTTTTTTTATATGTTGGAAAATATATTGTATATTCATGGCAAATTTCAGAGGAAAAATGGTATAGTTTTCAAATGATCAAGTTATTTTCGTACTCTGATATTTATATTTATGGCAGAAAAAATCTAATCTATCCGTACGTTTCCACTTTCGTAAAAACGCATTAAAATATGTTATATATTAATAATATTTTTTTTTGTTAATACGATATATTATTATTAACCCTTACTCCTGGGATCTACTGCGCCCCAACGCCTTTAGAGTCAAATTTGATGAAACTCTTTGACTTCATAGTCCTTTTTGTCAAAGAACTTCATATATCTCTAATTTTTATTTAAATTAAAGAATTTTTCACACTCAAAAATGGATCATGTTCGTCCTTAAAAATTAATAAAAAATTAAGCATCCTTTATTGTATTTTTGCAAAAAATACTATATCTGTTTGTTATTTTTGAAGAAGGATAGCTTAGTTTTCGTTAAAATTCACGGAGTTATGTTTTTTTTTAAAGAAAAATAAAGAGTTTTTATTTAAATTAAAGAATTTTTCACATTAAAAAATGGGTCATGTTTATTTTTAAAAATTAATGCTTTTTTAAAGCATCTAATTTTGTATTTTTTGCAAAAAATACTATTTTTTGCTTGTAGTTTTCTCGGGAGGAAAATTTAGTTATCGTTAAAATTTACGGAGTTACATAGTTTTCAAAAAAAAAGGACCATTTTTACCAATAGCCCACTACGATCCTTTAAATACCGTTGGGGTCTCCTGGACCCCTTGTGTATGCACCGGTACTGGATTGAGGTGTCTACGAAAAGGGTTAATATTGATAGTAAAGACACAAATATTTATGTTCAAGTTATGTGAAACATTGAAGAGTATTGAATTTTTCATCCAGAGTTACGATAAAATTGAAATTCAAATATTAAAATTAATTTAAAATGTAATGGCTAACGACGATTGATGGTCGGTTATAATTGATTTTTATTATAGGATGTTTTTCGAAATTTTTGCTTTTATAACCTTGTATTTGTTAATTTTGTCTAAATTTTTTAATAATATTAATGATAATATATTTAACATTTTTAAATAAAAAGGGTACACTGTATACCCAACTTTTTATTAACCATTGTTTTAAATTAATATTTATAGAGCTTCCGAATGCGTCCTATGACCGTGACTAACACATCTGGGATACTTATCACAATAAATGAATACATTAAATCTGACACTAAAACAACAAATCGCAATTTAAATTTTTGGGAAAAGCCCGCATTTGTGAGTCTTGAGAAACAAGAAAAACTGTGTTTGAATACGCTTGCCAAAGATTTACATATTACATAAAATAACGGATTATGTAGTTCTTTTTTATTCACATGTTCTAATAAATCATGTTTTACGAACTTGGAATATAAAAGTAAATAAAATGCATGCATAATTGGTGTGCTATTTATAAAAATAAATTATTTTGCGGGAAGTTTATTTCGTCTACCTTCTTGTGTTGTCCCAGTTTTGATTCAACAATATTCAATTAGTATTTTCAATACGAAGATGTCCATTTGGTTTATAATAAAAGAAAGACAAGTTTTGCTGGCTTATAAAGCAAAAACTAAAAAACGGCATTTTGGAAGAAAACAATGAGTATACTTAGATATAAGCAGTGGTGTGCTAATATTTTTTTTTGCCGGAACGCTAAAATTTAAAATCCGGTTCATAAACCGGTTCAATAAATTTGATATATTTCGATAAGAACTCACAAATCTAATATATTGACTTCTTATATAATTAACTCTATTATATACAGCTACTCTATAAATTAAATTGTACAAGTATGAGGGAATCATTGAGTACATAATTTATATTCTTTAATAACATTAATTATATTTATTGTGGTATTATTTGTATTCATTAATACTTACAGGTATTTATTATGATATAAAAGTACTCAAGATTTATTCCAATACTTTATAAGACTTAATAATTACTTAACCTAATAATACGATAGATAACCTATTACCTATCATACTATACTATTTTATTGTATATCATAGATAGATATCTATTATCAATCATACCGTGAGATACCTACACCGTCATTATTATAACTTATTATATAACTATTAACTTATTATATACCTACATACTTTTTACTTCTTATAAATATTACTGTTTCATTTATATATTTACCTATATTATATAGGTTTACCTTACGCCCTATGTATTATCTCTACCTATCTATTGTCTATACCGGGAATTGAACCCGGGACTTTCGCGTGGAAGTCGCGCACCTTAACCACTACCCTATCGGGTACCCCCATTGATAATATAATATAGAACGCACTGTTGTTTCCGCGGGTCATTTTCTAATTAATTACGTGATTAATACTAAGGTGGCGCGACGACACGCGAAAAAAGACGATTGATTGTAGCGTTACGGTGGTCTAGTGGATAAGGTTGTCGCGTGTCACGCGGCGGACCCGGGTTCGATTCTCGGTAGGGTTAATAATGTATCGTGTAAGGAAAATTATAGGTAATAGGATATATAGTAGATATAGGTTAGGTGTATTCGGTATACAATGTAGGGATTGAGAATATATGATTAAATATAGCGTATGGTATAGATGTAAGGCGTTTAGTATAGAATGCGACGTATAGGCATACGTAAGGCTATAAAAATACACGAATAGGAACTTATGATGTAGGTGTTAGTGTATAAGAAATGCGAATAAATATAAGATTTAGTTTATAAATACTATTTTTTCTATAAAAAATTTTATCTCGGTATTAAATATCTAAAATATCCGTTAAGGCGTTGATTACACCTTACTGCTGCCTTTGCCGTTATCACTTCATAGAAAATTAATTACTGCACTTTTAAACGATTGTGTGCACTGTGCGACAATAGACATAGAACTATAAATTTTATTAAATGTTTGAGTAACTTGTGCGAGCTCATTTTCTTAAGATGTTCTTAGTCTCGCAACTTACTGAATTCTAAAAATTCTAAATTTAAAAATATAATATAAAAATTATTATACCGCTGTCTAGAAGGGATAGCAATTTATAAATATACAGACTAATACATACAGAATTTGGATTTTTCTCTATAATACGTAATATTGAGAAAGTTTGCATTAGACCTAAACAGGGATGCTTATTTACCTAAGCTATGGAAATATATATGGAAAAAATAAATGATTTGCACATGCATCCTGTGCTCACTTAAACTAAACAATGATCATAATATATTTAACGAAGTTTTAACAGTATTTACAATTTACATTCAAATCGCCCAAAGCAAGTGGGTTAAATTCGTGTAATTTTTTAATTTGCCTCCCTCCTTTGAATTTAAGAATGGATTTTTCGGTGAGGCGTGTGCCCCACGTTGGGAATTACTAGTCTAGGATTACAATTTTTTAATCTACTACCAGGTTAATCAATAATTGAGTGATCATCAATTCCACAGCACCTTCATCAGATTTTTAAAAGATCAAAGTTTCTATGAATATGCATACAAATCTCAAATTGTAGGCAGAAATTTAGACAATAAGTCTATTGAAATATCGGGCTAACTCTTTTGCTATAAATTGTCAACTAATTTACCAATAAATAAATGTCAATAAAACAATGATTAAAAAAAATTACCAATAAATGTTGGATTGTAAAAATTTACAAGCGATCGAACGGCTTACATTTTTGCCTTAGATGGCAAAAAATTCATCCAATTATTAAAATATTAAATTTTTTTGCAGTTCTTATGCTTTTGTATTTATAGAATTGCTTTTTTCGCTACAATCAATTTCCATTATATGAATGTCTTAAATTATTTATTTTATTCGACTAACGCCCGCTATGTCCGAAACAAGTCCAACTTATATCCGAAATATTAGGGCGTCAGACACTTTTCGGTCTTAAAGTAACATATGTGAAATTTGAAATACACTACTGTATTGTAATTAATATTTCAGTTCATACACCTCAATTTGTAACTAAATTAAAAACGACTTTGATAAAACCAGTGGTGTTGTGCTAATATTTTTTGTCGGAACGCTAAAATTTAATAACTGGTTCATAAACCGGTTCTCATGTTTTTTCCGGTTCCGTTCGAAAAGGAGAGAAACAAAAATTATTACAAAACCCATTGTGTGCACATACATGTATGTTTATTACAATAATAAGAACATTTAATAAAAATTAGTTGAATAATAATTTATACAATTTACTTATTAAATCATTTTCCGTATGTAGCGATTTTTTTATATTTTTTCTTGCCGGAACGCGTTTCTTGCCAAAAATGATTTGCCGAAACGACGTTCCGGCGCGTTCCGGCTCGACAACACCACTGGATATAAGTACTTGTCTAGTAATATTTTTACTAATATGTAATAATCGATTTACATTATTTTTTCATTGACAGAAGCAGCCGCATACGGTCTTCGTACCACCGACGACATATGTTCTGCTGTAACCGGCTCATCGCCTTATCATCAGCAGCAATTGACGTCGCATTATGGCGGTAACAATAACAAAGAGCAATTACCTCCAGCTGGTCTTCCTACAGCAACCGATACAACAGGGTACAGATATCAAGTGACAAATCAACAGCAGCAGCAAGATGCTGCCGGATCGCCAGAGTTTTATCCGGTTATGCAGGACCATAAGATGGCTCCAGCAGCACATTATCAAAAAGGGTCGTGTTATGGACGTGGTAAGTAATCAATTAAACCTATACTTAATAACCTCCGATTATTGAAGTCTAGTGAATTTTATAAGAGAATCTAGTGAATTTTATGGGTTTGTAAAAACGTAAAAATCACGAACATTGTTTTTGCTAATTCTTTTACAAGTTATGAATTAATGTTTTGAGAATACAAAAAAATGCAAATATTCAAAAATTTTAAGCTTTTTTAGCCTAGAAGTTGGGAAAGTGAGGGTTCTAAAAAATAGGGACCTGATCATAATATAGGCACCAGACCCATGATTATAGCACTCTAAATAATCTGAAGGAAAAAAATATATATTATTAATCTAGAATGAAGTCGCTATAGTATGAACCACTGACAAGTTAAAAAAATGTTTTCACAAAATAGCAACTGTCTGAAGAAAAGCTTTATAACTTTTTTGATATTCTCGATTTTTTTAAAAATAGTCAAAATTGGTTGGGGATATATAAAGAAAACTCTTCAAAAATTTCAAGTAAATCAGTCTAATAGAATTTGAGAAATCCTGGATATTAAAAAAGACAGTTTCGAGAAAACCGCGTTTAAAGTTTTGCGGAGGAAGGAAACAAGATTATGGTGTGAAACAGCTATATTTCCAAAAATAACTTAAATTTTGAAAAATCCTATTAAACGCATATTCATGAATAGTATCTTGAACCTATAGAAAAAAATAAAATCTTTTTTTTTAATTATAGACTAGAACACCCCCTTAAGTTACTAACGATAAGCCTTAGGTATACTCTATTATAGTTAGAATTTTTTTTAATATGAGATATTTAATAAATTAATGAATTAAGATAAATGACTTGATTATAATATTTACTGTTGTACATCACTGCTGTGATTTAATAAATAATTTAATACTACGTTGGACATCAATGAAGTTCTAGTACATTCTGCAGTCTGAAAGATTATATTTTTTTGAAATGTTACCCTGATTGTAGTTAACTTTTTCTATTATTTTTATATATTTTTTAATCCTAATATATAAATATCATTGATATATTTTAAAACAAAGTTTAAATGTTTTTGCATGTGTAAAAATATACTTAATCGTATGTTACTAGGCAAAAAATTTTCGATTTTAGATTCTGGCATCGTTGTTTGGCAAGAATGTATTGTCAATCGCAGCAAATACTTGTTTTGAAATAGACTCTATATTTGAAATACATTAATTGATAAGCTTTAATTCCTTTAATTTACTTTAATTCTCTTTAATTATATTTTTTAGTTAATTATAATACATACTTCATTTATTTATATTGATCATCTAATAATACCGATTGTGAGTTCCGAAATTGTTTATTTGAAACCGTTAAAATTTGTTTTAATTTACTTGTAATAAAAATTTATATTATTAATTGTTAGTGCAATTTTCAGCTTAATCTTAAAGATTAATTTTTAACTGTATAATACTCTGCACTTAATTAGTACTGTGAAACCAGAATGCTTGTGAAAATTAAACGCTTGGCCAACAAGCCCGGCTAGCTCAGTCGGTAGAGCATGAGACTCTTAATCTCAGGGTCGTGGGTTCGAGCCCCACGTTGGGCGAAGTTTTTTTTCTTATTTTTATATGTATTTTTTAAAAATATATATCTTTTAATTTTACAATTTTTTTATTAAATTATATTAAGAAGTTTTAAATAAGCAAACTTATCTTAATATTATATTATTTAAATTTTGTCGCGTAATTCAACTTAATTATCCTCAATGTTACTCTTATTCTAATAAAGTATCCTCAAAATTACTTTATTATTAATATATTTTTACACGATTTTTCGCATAATACGCTACTTCATGTCGATTTCTGCACTTCGCAAATTATTTTAATAGATCCTTTATGAGACAGAAGTCAAGACTTCATCTTATACAAGGCACTGAATAATTAACTCAAATTCTTAATATAGTTTAATGTTTATAGATAACTTAATTAGCGTAGTAAGATATGCTATATAAATAATATATATATCAATAAGTTAAAATGTTTCAATGTTAATAGTTTTTTTTATTGATATATTATTTTCATATCCCTGTCAAACAGGCGTGTGTGGTATGAGAGATTCTGAAACAATTTTCATATTTTATGTATACATATCATGTCTATTTCATTATACATTAATATAATATTTATTATAATTAAAATATCTTTAAATATCTCATATCTTTTTCGTCTTCAATTTGTTTATAAAATTTCTTTATTTTCCGTTTGAAGTTATTGTCATCTTAATATCGATTGGCAGTTTAATGTGAAAATTTGTAGCATTCATATATCTTGATTTATGTCTTGATGTCTATTGTTGTACTTGTTTCAATTCTGTTATATTTAATTGTGTGTATTAATTTGCATTCTTATGTTTTAATTATGTTATTTAGTGAATGAATCGTTAATAATAAAATAAATGATAATAATGTTTACTGTTTATTACTACCTTACCTAACGTTTAATATGGTATTTCCCCAGCTCGGTACAACGACTACTCCGAACCCTATACTCCGTACGACGCAGGGCCTTTCCAAACAGTTCCAAATAGTATACCTTACGACCAGTGGTCCCAGCCAGGTCTAGGGCCTTCCCAGACACCGCAGCAGGCACATCAACATACAGACCCACATTCTATGGGACCAAGTGGGCCTTATCATCCACATCACATGTCCAGCACAGGACCACCTCAAAGTCTTTTAGGACCATCAATGTTGGATAAACAGAATATGATGTCGGGAGCCACCTATGGAAATACAGGACTTTGTTTTACAGGTAAAATATTTAGAATATATTATTTTTTTTATTCTCTTTATTGAATTACAATCTGTTTTTACAAAAAGGAAGACATTCAGTAATTGTGATGATATATAAAATATTAAATATTAGATCTAAAAGGTTGCCCAGTAGTAAGCCTTTTCAATTTTGACATATTAAATTTAAATTTTATGATTATATAGAGTAAAATATATAATTTTAGTATTTGTATTAATTAATTAATTTATTATTATTAATGCAATTTCAGTATTTATAATATAATCCATTAGTTTTATATTTTTACTATTTTTAGTGTTTTTTTATTTATCTTCTAATCAAGACATCATTAACAGGTGAAACGTACATATTTAAGAAAAGTTGACAATAAACATTACATTTTTTTAATATACTTTTTGTTTTTCATTACTATTGGATTATTTTTTGAAGCTCAGTGTAACATAAAATATACAAATCTAAGGGTCAACTATCTAATATATATACGAGTCTTTTTTACTTCCATACGTTTCGACATACATTTTTATATCATGTTTAATCAACCACCATTGAGAAGAAATACAATAAAAATAGATAAGAAAAAATTGCCCTTAAAAAAAATGAATTTAGAATCATTGTTTAAAATTACTTGTTAGTTTTCACAAAGTGAAGAGGTATCATTTCTTTTATTGATACTGTTTTTGTACAACTGAATCAAAGTATTTAGAAGTACTTCATCTTAAATGTGAGTCTTTTCTCAATGTTATATGTAATTAGTTTAAACTGCTTTAATGCGTTTCGTTATTTTTATTTTATTTACTTTCTTTCCTGAAATTTTTGTTTGTATTGCTCTGAAGAATTTGTCTCACATATTTCAACATCAAAAATATATATACTCGTATGTGTATATGTATAAAATATTCAAGTGCAAAAAATAAGATTTCAAAGCATATTTATTTTTTCTATACGATTCGACGTATAATTTTGTCATCATCAGTGGATATAAAACAATATAAAAAACAATTATTACTATTATTGGTATTTTGCCTTAAGGCAAGTTACTTTTCGATGCGTATAAATAATCGACTTAATCAATAAAAAATAAAATAATTTATTAGTGATTAAAAGTTTTCCAAGTGGAGTTGTTACACATATTTGAAAACGAACGAACACGTTAACTCGGAGTATTTTCTAAAAGCAAATTTTCAGAAATCAATAATTTTTATAATTGGACCAGTTTTATTATGACTTTAATGGTTTAGTATGTTCATTAAGACCAAGTATTCTATTGTTATACCAAAAGTAAATCGTCTAATTTTAATTTTAACAAACGTCAAAAAAACTACTCATTTTCTCGAACTTTGATGAATTTTTAAAATTAAACTACTTGTAAGTTCTGTAAGTTCTATAAGACCATGATATACATCGCCAAAAAAAAGTTCCATAAAAATCAGCTTACGTTTTTTTTACCGGTTAATTACGAAAACGGCTCGGTAGTTTTTCATCTTAAACTAATCAGTATCATTCCCAACTTATATCTTTCGAACAGTTTTTGATTTTTTAAAATCGATTCGGTAGTATGAGCTTATTTTTTTTTTTAATTTCAATAATTATTACAACTGTTAAATAATTAACATCTAGTAATATTGATAAATAATAACATAAATGTAAATAAATAAGAGTACAAAGGATAGAATTTACATGAAAATAATATCCGTACTATTATGATTTAATATAAAATAGAAGCAAATAATAATAAAATTAAAATTAATTAATAATATAAATAAAATTAATACTAGACTCCTAAAGTAACATACGGTTTGTGCAAGTGTAAACTTAGTTCATGAGCTTAAATGTCCACGAAAAGTTAACACTTTTTTTTAAATTAGAAAGAAACGGCTCGGCAGATCGTGGCACAAAACTGACAAACGATATTCCTCATTGAGATACATCAAATGGCTTTTAAATTTTTAAAATCGGTCCAGGCTTGAAACGTCGAGAAAACATAAAATTAGCAAATCGGATTTTTTTTGAAAACAAACTTCTCCTTTGAGAAATTAAAAATATAGTAATAATAATAAATTAGTAACTAAAGTTGTAATAATTTTTAACTATTAATGCATAAGTCTGTATTGACTAAATGCAACTTTAGTCATTAATTAGTTCCCATAATTTTGGTGTCAATTAAATTTTAGTCAAGTTTTGTTGGTCATTTTCTGGCATACTAATTATTAACAATATAAGAAAATTTAATATTTAATATTGTTGGAACATATGCGGGTCAAGGGTCGTGTCGTATCCAACTGACCACAAAATTTAATTAGAATAACACATCCATGTAAGGCATTTTATCTCAACAATGACAACTTACTACTCTTAAAGTATTAATTTATTTGTGATTGATTTGTGAATTTCTTTCACTAGGGTCCGGTCCAATACAATTATGGCAGTTTTTACTAGAACTTTTAATGGACAAGAATTGCCAGCCTTTCATTTCTTGGACTGGCGATGGCTGGGAATTCAAATTAACAGATCCTGATGAAGTGGCAAGGAGATGGGGCGTGAGAAAAAATAAACCGAAAATGAACTATGAGAAATTATCTAGAGGTTTACGTTATTATTACGATAAGAATATAATTCACAAAACGGCTGGGAAGAGATATGTATATCGATTTGTTTGTGATCTACAGAATTATTTGGGGTAAGTGGATCGAAGTCTAAATAAAACCTAAATTACCTTTTATTATACATGTTAATTTGTGTAACTTGTTTTGCGTTGTATATGTTGTTCTGTTTAATTTTTTATTACATTTGAGTTGATTCATAATAAAAGGGTATGGGCAATACAGAATCGGCCCCATCCTAATATTTTTATATTTATACGCCATATTAAGGGTTTTTTTTTTGAAAAAGGATATACTATTTTTTTTTTAAAAAAAACGAGATAAAATTTTCAACTTCATCTTATGGCCGAGATCTCATTGAAAAGATGCCAAAGTGGTCCATTCTTTCAAACTAACTTTTTGACGTAACCATAAAAGATATTGAAAACAAAATTAACGTGATTCTACTCATATTGGCTTAGAACACATTATGTACAATGTTGTGCCAATGCTGATTAAGTTGAAAAATAAAAAGTACCCGAATTAGAAAGAAAATACTTGATGTCCTTAAGTGCTTCTAAAAATATTATAATTTTATTGACAAGGCTCGCCCGTAGGTAAGCGGTTAAGAGCGACGGGACTTGTTTCAGAGGTCCCGGGTTCGATTCCCACTGAGAGCAGCCTGTTGTCAGGCAACGTTGACAACGATTTTCACTTGGAAATATAGATAGCAATATGTTTCCAAGTGAAAATAGCCCTCACCCGGCATTGTTGCACCATACTTGCCCTATTACAGAGATTGTAATAAAAATTTATCATACAGAGATGTGACAACTGTTTGGGTTGCTATCTGTAATAAAACAAACGTAGTTTGTAAGAACTTACTCACAACAGCTCATAGAACCCATTAGTTCTGATTGCTGTTCAAATAAAATTAAAAAAGAAAATTTATTGACCAATAATCCGCTACTAAATTTTTATTACTCGTTTACTTATACTAATTTCGTAGAATTAGAACAAAGCTAATGAATTGATATATGCAACATAAAATATTACTAAATTTTTAAAACGGAATCAATTAAAAAATGTCATTTTTGAACAATTAAATTCTTGAAAATTTGGAAACTTATAAAGGGGTATTCTAGTCTTGAGACACAAATTTTATGTTATTTTTGAAAGGCCTTAATAAAGGCAGGCAATGTTTCTACTATCCATTTTTTTGAACATTATTAGTTCATCATTTGATTTCATAAATCATTATTAGGCTTCTAAATAATATGATGAAAAAATAAAGATTATTAATCATTCATAATAAAATATGTACTCGAATTATACTCGATGTTCTCAGTGCTTCTAAAAATATTATCATTTTATTGACCAATAATCCACTACTAAATTTTTATTACTCGTTTAGTCGTACTATTTTTGTAGGATTAGAACAAAGCTAATAAGTTTATATAAGAAATTGACATAAAGTGTTAAATAAAAAATGCGATTTTTATCTATTAAAATCATTGAAGATTTGGAAATTCATAATTTTTGGTATTCTTGTTTAGAGACATAAATTTTATTTTTGGAAGGCCTCAATAAAGGCAAACAATATTTTTACTATCCATTTTTTAAACGTTATTAATTCATGTTATAAAAATATAGAAAAAATTGAATTTAAAAATAAAATAAAGATTATTAATCTAGAATGATGGCATATTCGTATGAACTACGAACAAGTCATGAAAATAGCTTTGGTATGAACTACGGAAAAAATCACGAAAATAGCGACTGTCTGGAAAAAAATTACATTTTTTTTATACTCTAGATAGAATTTAAAAAAATCGTAAACATCGGAATTTGAAGATGAGAGTAGTTCATTCGAAGAGAAGTCTATAAACAAGATTCTTCAAAAATCTGTAAAGTAAATCGTTAAGTTCAGTAGAAGTTCAGAAATCGTGGGTATCATATCGAAAAAGATATTTTCTAGAAAAACGCGTTTAAAGTTTTGCGAAGGAAGTAAACGCATGAGAATTATTGTGATCAAACAGCTATATTTCCGAAAGTATGGAAATTTTGACAAAAAACCTCTTATACACATATTTATTAAATAGATAAACTTTGAAGATATTGAAAAAAATCGATTTTTTAAAACTTCTAGACTAGTATATCCTCTAAAAATAATTTAATTTGATTTATGAAAATAAATCCAAGTTTAGATTTATATAGGACATAATATGGATTAACATTAAGGCGACCATATTTTTTTAAGTCAAAACCGGGACGATAATTTTTAGCTACGCTAAATCGGGACACGAGGGGGGGGGTTGCAACAAATGCTACAAGAAAACACTAAAAATCAGTTTTTATATGATTTTTTTTAATCGGAACTGCGGCCTTTTAGTAACAACTTTATTATTCATTTACATGTAATACTTTTTTATCTATGTTTTATCTCTGTGTTTCTCGCTTTTGAGCCTTGTATAAAACTCTTGTATTTTGTTAATTTACCTATTAAAATTAAAAAAACTGGACATTCCGGGACAAAAGATCTATATCTGGGACAAATATTGCTTTTAGAAAAACCCGGGCCACAAGGTGGAAATCCGGGACTGTCCCAAACCGGGACATATGGTCACCTTAATTAACATATCATATACAAACATATTTATAGGCATATTTAAATATAATTTAAATCTTATTACATATTTATATTACATATATAATACACATACATACACATATATATATATATATATATATATATATATATATGTGTGTGTGTGTTAAATTATATTTATTATAAATATTTTAATTTGAACATTTTTGAAACCAATACTATTTCGTAATAGAGCTAATAATATCCAAAGGTAAATAGGTAACAGTACATCTTTTGAATCATTTTATTATTCATTAATTCGAGCTGGTACATTATAAAAAATAACTATTTTTATTATTGAAATTGAATCATAACTAGTTTATTTATTTCTTAAGCATCAGAAGCAAATTTATGGTAATTCAATTTTTGCTGATGATAGTCGGTAACAAAATGCAACAAAGAATCGCTAAAACCTTACGTTATTGCAAAAATGATTTTTGTTTACCGAAATATATTTCGCTTATTTTTGTAGTAATTTTGTAAAGGTATATTAAATTATTATTAATGTTATGAATCCTTTTTGTTCTTAGATATTCTCCCGAAGAACTCCATGCAAAGTACGATCTGAAGCCAGTGAAAAAGGAAGATGAGTGATTTTTGTATGACCCAATATAATAAGTGATTGTTATGATTTTGGACATAATGAAAATATTTAAATATAATTGAATTCTAGAAATTTATCAAAGACAATATTAAAATTGTTATTAATAAAGCAAATGTTCTGAGAGTGATTAATATTAAAATAGCCGATTATTATAAATTCTTAAAAAAAATATTAAAAAAATTATATTTATAGTTATATAAGAGAAATATATTTTTAATAACAATCACTTTCAGTATATTTGCTTTTTTGTGTGATCTATAATGATTAATTATTATATTTAAGATTTTTTTTATAGAAATGGTATCTCATTGCAATGTTTTGTCTATTTCATTTCCCACCGTTAAGTTTTATATAAATCAACAAAAATATTGTTCATAAAAATAATTACAACACAGTTTAACTTTTATTCATTAGTTTCATTTTGAATTAATTTCATTAAATCTTCAAATTGTTTATACTTTTATATAATGTTATTTAGAAGTGATCTCATTATATGGACAAAGTTATCAAAATGCAAAATTATATTGATTTAATTTCAATGTTATAATATTAGGTTTTTTCCACTAAATTGTAATATATAAAAAAAGTATTAGTTAATAATTCGTGCCTTCAAAGATAAAATAAAATATATTTTTACAAATACACATACTGTACAATTATATATACTATTATATTTGTACGATTTGAATATTATATTTAAAAAATATTATTTAGGTATATGTGTACATTTTATTTATAAATAAATAATAATTTTATACATTTGTATAATATATAAGCTAAAAAGTTAACAATTAAGTTTTTAGCTAATAATTTTATAATAAAGCTTTTAATATATTAAATTCAGTATACTGATATTTTATTTAATACATACCAATAAAGTAGATCAGCTACTTAAAAATAATAAAATTATTTCTAATTATCTTTGTCTGTTTATTATATTTTATAATGAATATAATATAACTACGAAAAATATCATATGTAATGCATCGATGGTAAAGAGGACTAAATGGGATTTTTGTGTTTAATATGAATGTGTAGTAACTGTAATAATTTTTAGGTAGTTTTAAAAAACTGAATTGTTAAGAAAATTGTATATAATTTATTGACTATAGTACTTGCAAAAATAGAAGATATTGCTTACATTTCTAAAATTTAAAAGTCATTAGATGCATATCGATGAGGACTATCGTTTCTCAGTCTTGAGCGACGATCGACCGAGCTGTCTCTTTGTAATTTGCATAAATGTGAAACTTTTCGACCACGTTTTAGCTTACAATCCTGAATCGATTTTGGAAAATGATAATGTTCAGTTTTCGGTAAAGATCTATCGAGCGGTTTTCTTGTAATTACAACTGTTGAAAACAAATTATTTTTCGATTTTTATAAAATCTTTTTGTGGAGATAGATACAAGTAGTTTAATTTTAAAAATTCATCAAAGTTTGAAAAAATATGATATCAGAATTTAGGTCAAAAGTCGCTTTTGTGATGTACACAGTCAATCAAGTCGTGAAAATTAAGAATTATCTCCTCCAAAACCAATTCATTCCGGCGTTCCGCAAGGTAATGTTCTCGGTCCAATATTATATCTGCTAGTCACTTGTGATATGCCACATTATAAATGGTTTTGGAATTAGCAAAAAAGTAAATAAACAGTCTACAAAACTTCTCTGGTTTTGTAAAAAAAAGTTGCCATTCATTTAAATCATTAAATAATATATAAGCATATTATATACGTACTCGTGCCAGTATTTTCTTATAATATTTTACAAAACAATTTATTAGGTTTAAAAAAAATGTTTCGACGTGAAATTTTACGTTGCGATAAATTCCATGCACTAAACAGCCCTATGAAAATTGGTTGAATTTTATAGGTTTATTAATATTTAGAATAAGAAGCTTCAATTTTAGGACACACAAATACGTGCTTATAATATACGTTTGAAAGATATAAATTGGAAATCGCAATGTTTTGACTTAGTTGAAAGCGAAAACATTATTTTCGAAATAAATAGTAGAAATTTTTATCTAAATATTCAAATCTCAATTTTGGTCGATTAAGTCAATTATCACATCTATCGAAAAGTTCATGCAACCTGCCTTAAGGCAAGGTCCAAAAAAAAGATCATGTCTCTTGAAATAAAGCGTGAAATTATTGAAAAATATTAGGATGGCGAAGATGTATAATACATCATGGATTTGTACTGTGTTTGAACAGAAGGGGTGGATAAAGGGTATAACTCCAGTTAAGGTCCTTATAATAATTTATAAACAGCTTTCTGACTCTAAAAGTTCGTGGATAAACATAATCATCTCGAAAAAGTTGCAAAAGTTTTAGCTTGAAAAATGCTCATCAAAACATGTTTTAATTCATTTACGCATTATCATGAATGGACAGGAAAAATAATCATTAAATTAAAAAATAGTGAATTTATTTTTACAATTAATAAAAAACACTCTGCTGGCACGAATTAATGGCATTTTAATGTATTTTACGGAAAAAGTTGCTTCGAGATACGAGATACGTGCGTGGTTACGGAACGAATTGAACTCCTATGTAGGGGCACCAGTCTATTTTGAAAACTAATCGAGTTTCCTCAAAATTACTTTTAAATTTTTGAAATTGGATCAATTATTTATTTCTGAAAACACGTCGACAAGTTGCAAATAATAACGCATTTTAATAAATATTAGAACTAGTTGTGCGTGGCCTCATGCCTTAAGGCAAATTGCCTTATTCTAGTACCAAAAATTAAAGTTTTTAAGTTAGAACTTTGATAAAAATAGATTTTGAAAATTTAAACAAAATAATTAATACAAAATACCGTTTTAAAAAACTGTATTTTTATACTTTGAAATATTTTAGAAATTTCGTTTTTTTTTTTCAAAGCAATCGCGATACGTTAGCTGCGTAGAAAGCGCGTGGGCGCCGCGTTGCAATATAACGGATAAACCATGGTACGGAACTCATATAAATAAGAATAGTTCATTTTTGACCGCCAAATGACATTTTTTTTACTTTTTTATTGGATCTCTGAAACCGCTGGACCTGCTTTTACAAAAATATTCATTAATTGTTCATTTTGTCAAGACAAGTAAAATGTTTTTTGAATTATTTAAATCGGACGCTCCGTTATCTCAAAAACTGAAATACCATAGATAAAAGAAGAGTATAAGTGAAATACCATTTTTGGCACTTTTTGCACCGTATCTTCGAAACGGTTTATCAATAGGAAACGATAGAAAACGTTTCCTTATCAATAGGAATTGAATGTTTTTTGAATCATCCAAATCGGTGAATCCGTGTTCTCGAAATCGTCGACGAAAAATTGTATCCAGACATACATACACACACACATGCATCAATTTTTGTAAGATATGTCTAAATGTTCAGAAACCTCTGAAACGTAAAGATATATAAAAATTTTCATTTTCTATTTTTTGCTATTAATATACTTACCCTGTAGGAAGTTAATAAAGTGTTGAGAAGCTTAATAATTTTATACAATTTAAATTTTTAAATGTTACATCAACTGTCAAAGAGCGGATGTGGCGCCATCTATGCTGTGACACTGGTAGTAAGTGATTTACATCAAAGCATTGGGGAAAAGTCTTCTTTATGGTTGACATTTGGTAAATTCATTAAATATTGTAATAATATCGCAAAAAGACTTATATATATAACAAAGGTTAGTATCAATTGAAATGTGTTCTTAAATTCAAGTAATATACTTTTGTTTTGAATATTATCTTAAACTCGCAGCGTAATAGTTACGTAATTTTTGGTTATGTAGCACAATTTGAGTTTTTAAGTTTTATTAAATTAAACTGGTTACTTATTATAATTTGTAGATGATGTCCAGCAAGTTAATCGCCGTCAGAAAGTCCCTTGTGGATATCACCAAAAGAGGAATTAGCACAAACCTGCCAGCCTTACAAAAAGCAGATCCCATTCAGCAAGCTTTCGTAGCTAAGTTGAAGGAATACAAGCAAAAAGGAGGATCGTGAGTTCATTAATAATATAAATAAAAATCTTACTAATACTCATAGAGCATAAATTTGTTTTTACATTTTCTATATGAGTGCTTTTATTTTATGTTAGTTATATAATTATTTTATAGTGATTAGAAAAACAGTTTCTATATTTAACTAGATGACCTGATAGGTGTTGTCCTGTACCCATGTCTACAATTCAAAAGTTCTAAATTTTTTAATATTCTATCCTATACTTCTTAGTATCCTATTTGATGTCTTACCTTTGTGATTCATTTATGGTCTTAGCATAAATGCAGTATAAGAAATTCAGAAAAAAATATAGTATCTGCAATAAAAGAACAATATCACTCTTGATTTTACCACACAACATAATTGCCTCAATAATTTAGTCTATAATTTTCATGATCTCGTAAATTATATTAGTTGCTCTTTGGCAATTATAATTTCTAAAGTACATTTTTCTTACTAATAATTTAATAAACATTATCGCTTATGTTCAAATATTAGGTGAATTAATTTGTAAAATTCTTTTTTGTTATACCACGTTTTATAGTGACTGACATTTCATGTCAAGTCGCACGGGAATCCTGCCGAATGGGATAAAAAGTATTTTATGTCCTTCTCCTGGCTCTAAGCTGCTGTTATTGAGTTATAAGTGGAGTAACTAACACGACTTTCTTTTATAAATATATAGATGTAATACATAATTCATAATTATGACGCCAATCCTTCCAATAAAAATAGTAAATATTAATCATTTTTAGTACCAAGTCCAACATTATTAAATATGGAATCATTGTTGAAATGTTCTTTATTTATTTATTTATATATACGCCAATCGGCTATGTACAGTAAATTTATAATATTACACTAATAATTTTATAATTTGAAAATCTACTAATATTAAATTTCAATACTAACATATAATATGAAAGAATATACATACACTTTATGCATAATACTTTGGTAACACAATACTTTGGTTGTATAATCTAATAATTAATTGCACGTATTATTTTATTGTATAGATGTGCTCTAAGGTATTATTTTTTTTTTATTTTAGATAAAAAAACATCTTAAAATATTAACAAATATAACATTGCCAAAGCATTTTAAGTCCTCTTTGTGTAAATAAACGCAATTATCCTCTTTAGTACATGATACTTATATTAATTATTTAAAAAAAACTTCCAATTTCTGATTGTAAACTTCTGTTGTTTTTGTTTTATTTATTTTTAATATTTAGATTTCTGATAACTTTTTTAATTTATTATATTACATTCTATATTTTTTATTATTTTTGTGTTTGATATTATTACATGTTAGATATTTTATTTGTTTGCTATTTTATTAGTTAGATCTTCTAGTAATTTGATAAACCTATAAATATTTATATTTTTATTAAGAATTGTATACAGAATATGCATGAGATTTTATATCAGTTATGATACGCCAAAATAGATGTACTGTTAAAAGTATATTCAAAGAAATTGCATTCTTTTAAAAATATTGAATCCTATTTCACATAGAGTAGATTTGAATAAATAATATATTTACAATATTGATGTCAAGCATAGTTTTCTTATTCTAAATAATTAGTTTTGAAATAACAACAAAATTAAGCAAATTTTCATCTCATTCTTTGCTGGCACTGTAAATTTAAATGGATTAAATTATTAAATAAAAACTAGTTGGTTTGGTATTTAGCCTTGAGGCAAGTTACATGAACTTCCCGAAATGTGTAAATAATCGACTTAATCAAAAAAAAAAGTGTAAATAATCCTACTTTAAAAAAAAACGATAATAATTTTAGCAAACTTTGACGAATTTTTAAAATTAAACTACTTGTCGTTAGGCCGTAATATTACAGTAAGTTCTATAAGACCATGATGTATATCGCCAAAAAAATTTCCATAAAAATCGGCTTAAATTTTCTTTTCAACAGTTAATTATAAGAAAACGGCTCGGTAGATTTTCACCTAAAATTAATCAGTACCATTCCCAACTAATATATTTCGAACAGTTTTTGATATTTTAAAATCGGTTCGGTAGGATGAGCTTAAATGTCGACGAAAATTTAACACTTTTTTTCAACAGTTAATTACAAGAAAACGGCTCGGTAGATTTTCACCTAAAATTAATCAGTACCATTCCCAACTAATATCTTTCGAACAGTTTTTGATATTTTAAAATCGGTTCGGTAGGATGAGCTTAAATGTCGACGAAAATTTAACACTTTTTTTCAACAGTTAATTACAAGAAAACGGCTCGGTAGATTTTCACCTAAAATTAATCAGTATCATTCCCAACTAATATCTTTCGAACAGTTTTCGATATTTTAAAATCGGTTCGGTAGGATGAGCTTAAATGTCGACGAAAATTTAACACTTTTTTTCAACAGTTAATTACAAGAAAACGGCTCGGTAGATTTTCACCTAAAATTAATCAGTATCATTCCCAACTAATATCTTTCGAACAGTTTTCGATATTTTAAAATCGGTTCGGTAGGATGAGCTTAAATGTCGACGAAAATTTAACACTTTTTTTCAACAGTTAATTACAAGAAAACGGCTCGGTAGATTTTCACCTAAAATTAATCAATATCATTCCCAACTAATATCTTTCGAACAGTTTTTGATTTTTTAAAATCGTTCGGTAGGATGAGCTTAAATGTGGACGAAAAGTTTTTTTCAAATTACAAAGAAACGGCTTGGCAGATCGTTGCACAAAACTGACAAACGATAGTCCTCACCGAAGTACATCAAATGGCTTTTAAATTTCTAAAATCGGTTCAGGCGTTTTTGAGAAAACGTCGATCAAAAGTCTAATTTTGACAAATGCCAAAAAGACCATACTGATTTTTGCAAACTTTGACGAATTTTTAAAGCTGAACCAGTTGTCGTAGGGCCGTAATATTTTAGTATGATCTAGAAGACTATGGTATCTATCGTCAAAAAAATAATCATAAAAATCGTCGAAATTTTTTTTTTAAAAACTTTATTACAAGAAAACGGCCCGGCCGATCTCTACCAAAAACTAATCAGCACGATTCCCAACCAATATCTTTCGAACGGTTTTTGAATTTTCAAAATCGATTCAGAATTGCGGGCTAAAACGTAGACGAAAAATTTTTCACTTTTCTGCGATTTATAAAGAAACGGCTTGGCCGATCGTCGCACAAAACTGACAAACAATAGTTCTCGTCGAGATACATCGAATGGCTTTTAAATTTTTGAAATCGACCCAGCCGTTTTCGAGAAAACGTCGATTTACGGCAAAAAATCTGTTCACATACACACACACACACACACACACACACACACACACACACACACACACACACACACACATACTTTTTCCAAATTTGGTCTCATTCGATTCAGAATGGCTTGAAACGTCGAGAAAACATAAAATTAGCGAATCGGGTTTTTTGATGAAAACATAAACTTCTCCTTCGGGAAGTTAATTATTGATTAATTAAAAAGTTATTGATTAAATTATTTTGTGATCATTTTTTTCAGTGGAACTAAACTTGTTGAACCCACTCCTCAAATTCAACATGAATTGAAACAAGAGCTGGACAAGGTAGCTAAGCAATATGGAGGTGCCGAAGGGGAGGATATGACCAAATTCCCAAGCTTCACCTTCCCAGAACCAAAAGTTGACCCAATTTCGGCAACAGCTTAAGTGATATTAATAATTAAATGTTAGTATAAATAATTCTGAAATTAATGCCATCATTATTTGAACTTCGTCTTGTTGAATAAATAAATTACACCATTGGAAGATAATAAAAATATTTTATTTTCTATATATATATATTCTAAATTTTAACAAATTTATATGTACATAATCAATAAGTTTGATTCATTATTATTAATACTATTGATGTCATAGTATATGTATATACATATAATATATGCATATGTCTAATGATGCCAAAAATTAAATAAGACATGCTGATTAGGATATAACATATAACCATTACTATGCTATTATGCAATAGCTCTTATAAACCGTTTCTTAATCTTTCTTCGTTTCTCAAATATTTTTCTTCCTTCAAAACCATCATCTATTGGTTTACGATATTGATCCCAAGGATGAATATCACAATTTGGATATTTTGCTTGAACTTTATCAATCCAAGATTTGTATGAATTTGAAAACTTTGGGTACAAAGTTAAGAAATAATCTCTATTAATATGTTTCAAATCCTCACATGGAACATTATTAGCTAACTCTTCATTGCATCGTTTACATTTTTGATAAAAATTTTCAAGAGTGCTATAAAAATATTTATTTGGTTCAATATCTTCATTTAATATTTCTTCCATAATTAATAAAACATATCCGAATGACATCTTTTTACATGCAACATTTAGCATTGCACCCATAATTTCAGCATTGCCTCTGAATCCAGCACCACTGATATCATCTAGTAAATCTCTAGCCTCAAATTTTGATTGACAAGTCATTGCCAATACTCCGTAAGTAATAATATCAGGTTTCAAACCAGCAGTTTTTATCATATTCAAAACTTCCTTTGCGCTTTCATATTCATAACGTAACACTCTTTTTTTCATCAACATGTTAAAGAAACAAACATCAACTTTAATACCAGTTTTTTTCATCATTCTTAGCAAAGCAGTCTCAGCAGCATTTGTTGAAGGTATCACTTGGAGTAATTGTGTGAAAGTTTTTAAATCTGGTACTGCTTTATGAACATACATTTCTTTTAAGAAACCAGAAGCACCTCCTAATAAAAGTAATCTATGCTCTGGATTTGTTATGCCTGTAATGTCCACGATTTTCCCAAAATGGGGTGTTTGAGATAGTAGATTAGGCAAATTGTTCTCTACTTCATTTGCATCTTGTGTTTTTAATACAGAATTGTTTGAAGAAGAATTTAATAAAATTTGATTAGATGGTCCATCTAATCTTTTAGAACCTTCATTTAAATTATCAAAAAATGATTTTGATTCTTCAATATCGCCAAGTCCACAATCTCTTATACAGTGCAGTAATAAATTGAATGTATATACATCGGGCTTTTTCTTCATATGTAATATTTTTCTCCACACCAATAATCCATGTCTAAAACCTGCAATTTTATCACTAATACTAGCTTGTAACAAAAAATTCATAGTACTTATAGGAACATTCAGTCTTTTATCAATCATTTCATCAACAAGCATAAAAGCAGTTTTAAGATCACCACATCTTCCAAAAGCTTTAATCATCGCATTATAATTTGTAATATTTGGTTCATAATGTTTTTCAAACATCAATTCCCGTAATTGAGTGGCTCTTTTTAAACCATCTTCTGGCCAAGGACTATTAGCGCAAGCATTAAACAATGAAGTATATATCCCTCCTGAAATTTTCAAGTTTCTTTTTTTCATATCATTAAACAACATAAAAGCCTTTTTAGTATAACCAACAGCTGCACAGCCTGATATTAAGATACTATAAATGTACTTATCAGGTTTAGCCCTGTCTTCTTTTAACATTTTGATTTCTAAGATATCTAAAGCATTTTTCAATCGTTTGTTTTTTAATTCCTCCTTCATTAGTTTTGCATAATGAATTGTAGGTAGATAGTTAGGCCGCTCAGTTAGATATTCATCTTCTTCCTTATCTCCAATATCACTATCGTACTTGCTAGTAAATATTGCAGTTCCTGACAAAACACCAAATCGATCGGGATCATCTTTATGAATTAACTCTCTAGGAATTTCAGGTTTTTGTTTGAAATTTTGAGAATTTGGAAGAGATCCTTTAATGATGAGTTCAGTTGACCCCTGTTTGAGATTATTGTTATGATAAAATTGTTTCTTAAGGCAAAACAATACAAAATTAATTGCTGGTTTTTGATTAGCTATTCTGTTAAGACAGCTTTTATAATTTAGTAGTCTATTCACAGAAAACATGGCATTGTTGATATTATTCATTTGTCATATGTAAAGATAATAAATTTTCAAATAATCGATTAGGGTTAGTTTAAAATCAACGCATAACCTCTTTCAAGTGTGACCTTATAATTTATTAACAAAATGATTTTAAGTGTATTTTGATTATAAATACTCATAGAAAGCATTTCCAAGTGGATAAGGAATAATATTTTTTAAAAACACTTTAGTTTCTTATTTATTACTTTTTGTAACACACGCAAAGATTTGACACAATAAAATGCAGGTTATGACTCCTTACTCTTAGGCAACTATATAAACATAGCATTATTCTCGTACGTGAGTTTCATCAAATTTTTAAATTCCAAGTTTTAATTATTTCTAATGATTAAAACTAAATAAAGAATTGACAAATGATTGAAATACATAATTTACTTTATAAAATTGACTACTTGCATAAGGAATAAAGTTGTAATATTTAAATTCAGTCCACTTTATAACAACATATATAATAATAATTTAGTAAATATTCCTTTATCGTATTATGATCGAATTATTATTTTTAGACTCACTTTTACAGCTCAATTAAATATAAGTTTGAAGAATTAAATATGATAAAAAACGAGACATATGAGTTTTATTTCTTAAAATTGATCAAATTGCAAACCTTTATTTTTGGAGAAAGTCAAAGAAACAAAACGCATTTGTAGTTTTTAATAATCATGTTAATGCTTCTACAATAATATTAAATTATTATTATTTTAAAATTAGCGCGTTGAACTCATTTGAAGTAGGCAAGGTAAGATCTGTTTATAAAGCGGACAAATGTCACTCGCGCGCACTTTTGTTTGCGGACAAAAGTCATTCGTTTGCGATTATTTGCATCTGGCAATTTTCATGGCCATCTTGATTTTGATATCAATTCTAACTGTGATGCAGATTTTGACTGAACGTAATAAATATATTTTTGCGTGTAATGTAATTGTGCTCGAAAAGTTATATGTTGATAATTCTGGACCGCTCTTCTATAGGAATTACTTCAAGATTCGATGATAAATTTACGCTTGAATGCTGTAGCAGATTGAAATTGCAAAATGCCCACTGAAACGACCGAAAACTACTGTGAAGACATGGTTGTCCATCAAACTCAAGAAATTGAACAACAATTCATTAAAGGTATGACTATTCCGCGATGCATTCTTTTTATAATAGATTTAACGATTTATTTCGGCGCAATATACTAATTGCGGTATATTCTGTCTGCTTGAGTTGTTCCAGAAAACCAGGTAGAACGCCTTCACTTATCCCGATGCCGACGCTGTGTTCTTGAGCTTGGCCACGAATTTACATAAAAAACTTTAATCGTAAAGATATCTTAGTCATAACTAGGGAATTTGCATGAAAAGATAGTTCATATTATTCTATCAGCGTTCATACAATATTTACAACTTATTCCTTACTTTGTAATAAATATCAAATGCAATAAATATGATTAAGAGGTATTTCATAAAGATTTGTTTTAAAGAAATCAGTTTTTCGGTCTGAAATTAATTTTGAAAACTTAACAAACTACATGCAAGTTCTCCATAATGTTTAAATTATGAATGAAAGAAACAAACTATTTGAAGATGATCCACAATACTTTCACTATTTAAGAACTTTTATGCTTTATAATTTTTTCCATATTTTCATAATGACTACTATATAGTTATTTATAATGACTACTATATAATTATACACACCGTGTTTACAAATGTGAAGTAAGTATGTGCTACATGAGCGAGTTAAATTTATATGATGTTTCATGAGATTGGTAACCGGCAAGAGTAAATTTTAGTTAAAATAAAAATCATTTATCATATTAATGTTTTCAAAAATTGGCTAGACATTTAGTAATAAGTTTTTTAAATCTGTGTTTCACTCGTCGTCTTATATAATAGATAAAATTTCAGTTATAGATTAAGTAATTTGAAGTATTTTGTGCGCTTGTTTTGTATTTTCAGGTTAACATCTCTTTCTAAAGATTGGGAACTATCGCATGTACACTCCATGATTCATACTAAATCACCATTGATAAGTTTAGTGGCAATTATAAATGGTGCAAATATCTACATAATACCACAATTTTATTTGTTTTAAATTATTTTTTTTGCATTTTATTTCAAATGATTTAAAATGCATTCATACATCATTTTGTTGATTAAATAATGCAGGTATTTGTGGTTTTTTCTATTTGTTCAGATAACTGCCTGCTTCACTGAGGATTTGCAGATGCTACAAGACTTCTACAATAATATTGTGACTATTGTGAGATCTCCATTATGAAAACTCAATTCCAAACATTATAGATATATATATATATATATATATATATATATATATATACACAATTATTTCTCAATCTGGGTGTTCGTGAAAATAATTTGACAGATAAATTATACATGAGAGCATTTAGAGTTAAATTTATTCGAACAGTCTATTAAATATTATAATTAGTGAAAAATAGTAAAGATATAAACCATTATTTATCATTAATATAATTGCATTATGCACATAAAATTTATTTACATAAGTATAACAGAATTATATTTAATTTACTGTTATATGTTTTCTTAAAGATATCCTTTGAAACAAATTTCATATGAAAGAGATGAAGGGGAAAATTATTTTATATATTCGGTAAATATCTAGTTCAATTCATGGGATCACTATTTGTTCATTATTATTTTTGGAAACTTAATAGTAACGTGCATTCCATTTTTCTGACTTCAGTTTGTGATCTTATTACTGGTCTTCCTAAACCGAAGTATTTGCTATAGTAGTTAATCTGAGAATAATATTACAATCTAATATTTATATCTGAATATGGGTGGTTTTCGTTAAATCATTCCAGGAAATATTTTGCTTCAGAGGTGATTGCTAAAACGTTGGTGTAACCGATTTGTTTACTCTCTTCCCATGCGGATTTCATTCATGTTTCAATGTTAAAATGGTGATGAATCCAATCACTATGCAGGGTAATTTAAATTATTAATGTTTTGTTTGGGTTCAAGTTGTATTATTTATGTTAAATTAAAAAAAAAGTTTATTACTTTTGTGATGACAAGTTTTGGCTTACACTATTTTATTTTATTTTAGGACCTGCGCTGCCTTATCTTACTAGCCCTTTGTATGATATTCAGCAAACTGGAGAAGTTATTTTAGGTAAGTCTTTCATTTTTATTATACAGTAGTATAATAATCTAGTTAATTCTATGCTATTCAGATCCAGGATATATTTTTGCATATCATAATATTTTACAAAATATCTAATTTAAATGTCTATAATTTCATATTGATTTTTTGTAATTATAGTTAACTTGCTAAAACATGTTAATATGAAATAAATTCATAATTATATAAAACTAATTTTTATTTATCTTGATTAATGTTATTCAACCTTTAATTTGTTATATCACTATTACATAAATGTTTTTTTTGCAGGTTTATTAACCGAATCCATATTAATGTTTGATTTACCCAGAATTACATAAATGTACTAATAGTAATTATTATAAATTATATAATTATACAAATTCAGGACTAATTTAACTATCTATAATGTAGTGAATTGCTATACTTAATTAACTTCCTGAAGAACATTTAGTCTTTTTGCGAAAAAATCCTATTTGCTAATTTTGTTTTCTCGACGTTTCAAGTCATTCTGAATCGAATGCCAAAAAATTTGGATAAAGTATGTGTGTGTGTGTGTGTGCATGTGAGCAGATTTTTGAGCTTTTATCGATGTTTTCTCGAAAACAGCTATATAGTTTTCAAAAATTTAAAAGCCCTTCAACGAAGTTCCATAAGAATTAGCGTTTGCCATTTGGCGACGATCGGCTGTTTCTTTGTAAATATCAGAAAAGTGTTAAATTTTTCTATCTTCTTTCAGCCTATAATCTTGAATTGAATTGATTTAGAAAATTCAAAAACTATTTGAAAGTTATTGGTTGAGAATCGAGTTGACTAATTTTCTAGTTTCTAATCAGAACCAGTGCCGAACATCTATATACAGTGTTTTGTAGGTAGAGCTACTAATTAGTAATTTTAGCCGACACTTTGTTAAAATACATTTCTAGACAATGAAATAGATCAAATGAATTTTTTGAACAAATTAATTTAATTTATACAATTACAGATATTATAAGTATGTTTGAATGAATCAATTGGAAATCGTATTGATCTTTTTTTAATGAAAGTGAAAATGTTGTTTTTGAAATAATAGTTGAACATTTTACTAACATATCTGTATCTCAATCCTTATTGATTGAAGTTGATTTTGTATACATATTGGGTAAGTATATTCAACTTGCCTTGGCAAATTGCTGCTTACTAGTTTTTGAATGTGAACAATTTAGTTACTTGGGTATATTGCAAAACTGTATGAATGTGGAAGAAAAATATATATCTGTTTTTTGCAGGTCCTGGAGCACACAGTGGCACATTGATGTCCATATTGGGTGGTGCACTTCCAAGATTATCTTCTGATCAACATGATGCAGTTGCTAAAGCAAAGAAATATGCAATGGAGCAAAGTATTAAAATGGTCCTGATGAAGCAGACCCTCGCTCATCAGCAACAGGTATTTTTGATTAGGAACTTTAATAATTCAGAAACATATTTTTTTTTATAAATATCCAACAATAATTTTATTTTCATGTTTATTTTAAATAAATAGTAATTTCATTATATTTAAACGATTTGAATTTATTTTAGCAAATGGCAAGTCAAAGGACACAAGTGCAACGGCAACAAGCGTTAGCATTGATGTGCAGGTAAGTTGAAACTGATTTAAGTGTAATTGTTAAATATCTGAAATGAAATTTATCATAAATTGAAATATTTTTTTTTGCAAGTTTTATCTAACTTACATAAATATCATTATCGATTTATCATTGTTGTATCATTAACGATTTTTGTTAAAATCAGAAACATTTCACTAATCTTATGGTTTGAGTAAAAAAAATCATTTTCACTTAATTCTTTAATATTTAACCATTTTTGTTATAGCTACATCTACTACATATGTATATATATATATATATATATATATGTATATAATATGTGCGTGTACATATATATTATTTTTTCATAATGCAAATTATCAGATTGATGCTAGTTCTTCTTCTTCGGCATTCTTCAATACATTGTTTAAGATCTGTTCTTGAAGTTCTTGGTTTACAAGATAACTTGATAAAATGCTTAAATCATAGCATGAAGAAAGTTCTAGTAGCATAGATGCTATATTTTCTCTCATTGTTAAAATATGGTCAATAGCTTGATCCAATGTTGCATCAAGTTCTTTAATTTTTTTCTCCATTTCCTCATAGAATTCATTTTCATCTCTATCTAATGTCATGATTTAGAAATTGTTCAATCTTTTAATACTATACTATATTTTGAACTATACTATATGTTGCTTCTGTCAAAATGAACAATTCAAAACCAATATGGTGGTAATGCATAATTAATTGATTTCCATCAGATCATATTTTTTATTGTTTTAAATGTGGAGGCCATGCGTAATCAAGTATTAATTTTCCAGGGTTTATGTTGGTAGTATAAGTTTTGAGTTGAAAGAAGATACAGTCAGGCAAGCTTTTCTACCATTTGGCCCAATAAAATCAATAAATATGTCTTGGGATCCTGTAACTCAAAAACATAAGGGTTTTGCCTTTGTTGAATATGAAATTCCAGAAGGGGCACAGCTGGCTTTGGAACAAATGAATGGCGTCATGATTGGAGGACGGAATATTAAGGTGGCAAGTATTTATTCTGAGATAAATAAAATTATCAGACTAAGAAAATATAAAATTTTAAAGCCCTTCTTTCTAAATATATATATTGCATCATATTGACAATTAAGTATTACCTTTAATGCAAATTTGTAATGATGAATTTATTCAGATACTGTTTATCTATACTTGTTTTAAACATTGAACTTCTTTAAGTATTTATACTTGGGTTTTTATTTTTTAAATTATTCACTTTGAAAAGTCACTCAGCCGCTTTCAAAATATTAATATATTTGACTTTTACTACTATTTTTTTTTGTATTGTCATCTCAAATTGTTGGATAATTGTTTTCAATATTACTTTACTTTATATATAAGGTATTATTAAAACAATTATCCAATAATTGACTTTAATAATTTGGCTAAGTGTGCTTTGAAATATTGTTCATGCAAGCTCTGCTTATGAATGAAACGTAAGTTGATCATATAAGCAAAAAAATGAATTGGATATTTTTTAAAATATCTAATAAAAAAAAATTTATTATTATTTTGAGAATACTCACAATTGTAATAAGCACATGAAATAAATATTGATATTTCGATTATATCCAATTCAGATACATTTGTTATAAAAAAAAATTACAAATTTATAAATTCTCGATGCTATCTCGTTTCAGATATTGATCCATTGTCGAACTTTGTAAAATAAATATCAGTTCAAAACTACCTTTATATTGAATAATATTGACTCTAGAAGGACGGCACTAAATAACTGACTCATTTGAGCTACAATAATTAAATTTTTGGTGGCCAGAATATCAATAATAATGCTATGCAAACTATTTTCTTCTAAATTATTTTCTATTATAAAATATATCAACTTTATATACTACATCGGGTATTTATGAATTTATTACTTTGTTTCAGGGTTCGGAACCACAAAATTGTTTGGTTGAGGTTCAGTAGTTGAAAAATTCGGATTATTTGAAACTTAAAGCAATTATAAAACAAAACTGAAATTTATAAAAAAATTATTGATGCCTGGGCAATGAGTCAAATTATCAAGAGCCGTTCTTCTAGCGTGCCAGAAATTGCTACTTATAAAAAACACTTTGATTCAAATATAAACATGTAAATATTTTGTCTCAATATTATTTTTCTCATTTAAGTGAAGTGATCTTTGACTGGTAAGTTTGATTGTATAACATTTTTATATCAACTATAATTATAGCATTGAGATTTTATGATTGGTAACATAAACTTTAAAATGATAATGTATTTCTATACAGGTGATGGTGTTGACATCTCTGAATTATTCTATATTTATTTCATGCAGATGATTATTTCAATTTTGATAATAAATTGAGAATTACAAAAATATTATTTACTTCAGCATGTTAGTTTAATAATGTATGCAATAGGATTGCAGAAAATACCAATAAACCTACCCAAATACACATCTATATATATATATATATATATATATATATATATATATATATATATATCTTGATATTGTTTATTTCGACTTTGAAACATATTGTTAAGGTTTTTCAGACACAAGTCGAAAAAATAAAAACACAAAGTAAATATAAAATCTCCTACAATATGTTTTAAGCTATTATACTATCTAAATACAGCTAAATCTAAATACAGCTAAAATACAAAAAGAGTAATAAAATATAGTAACAAAATAAAATAAAACAGAATTAAAATTATACGTACCAAACCAGTTTAAAATTAATTTATATAAAATTTGACAATAAATAACATCAATATTTTATTCTAAAACAAAAAAATATGTATATATATAAAATTTTAAAAATAAAATCAAGTAATCAAAATATTTCGAATTCTGAAAAAGAAGAAAAGAAAATATCAAGTGGTAAAAAATTGTTGAAATCTTAAAAAAATCAGACTTACATACATTAATTAAATTTTGATAGCTGTCGAAAAACAAAGAAGAAGAACTTGTCTTATTTACACAATGTGAATTTAAAATAATGAAAACAGATTCGACAAACTTTCTTAGGTCAACATTTTGTTCAATATGTAAAATGATGGAATTGTTTAAATCAAAAGTGTGTTTAAAATTTTGCATATGGTCAGATAACATTGTTTTGTATTGATTTTCATTTTTTGAATTATAATTATGTTGAAGCATTTTTTTAGGTATTGATTTTTAAAATTATATATATACATATTTTTTTGATTTTAGAACAAAATATTAATGTTATAATTATTTATATAAAATAATTTTAAACTAGTACGTATAATTTTAATTTTGTTTTATTTTGTTTTGTTACTTTATTTTATTGCTCTTTTTGTATTTTAGCTGAATGATGAGCTAGTATAATAGCTCGAAACGTATTAAAAAAGATTTTATATTTGCTTTCTGTTTTTATTTTTTCGACTTGTGGCTGAAAAACTTTAACAATATGTTTCAAAGTCGAAATAAACAATATCAAGATATATATATATATATATATATATATATATATATATATATATATATTTTGTAGAGTTTCGAACAAGAATCCAAAAATAATAAAAATAAAAAAACAAGAAAAGTTTTTAATAAACAATTTCTTTATTTAATTATTTGTTTACTGTCGACGTTTCGGAACTAGGTACGTTCCATCTTCAGGACATATGTCCTCTATGAAATTGTTTATTAAAAACTTTTCTTGTTTTTTTATTTTTTATTATTTTTGGATTCTTGTTCAAAACTCTACAAAATATACACAAATCCAAGATTCTACTATTATATATATATATATATATATATTAGGGTGGTCCTTAAAATGGTCATTTTCGAATTTCCTTGCTCCCAGGGGCTCAAATGGTTCCAATTAGATAAAAAACAATTCTCTGAAAGTTTTAGCTCTTAATATTAACGTTTAGATAGAGCGCAATTCAATCAAAGTTTTGTATGGAAATAGCATGCAAAAATTTTCAAAAATTTTAAAAATGTTTTTTACATGTAATTTAGCGAACCAATGAATGAATAAAACTCATTCATTTGTCGCTAAGTTATACCTAAAACATTTTTTTTAAATTTTCAAAATGTTTTCCATGCTCTTTCCATACAAACTTTGATTGAATTGCGCTCTATCTAAGCGTTAATATTAAGAGCTAAAACTTTCAGAGAATTGTTTTTTATCTATTTAGAACCAGTTGAGCCCTTGGGAGCAAGGAAATTCGAAAATGACCATTTTAAGGACCACCCTTATATATATATATATATATATATATATATGCAATACTTTTTTTCTTTTTTCCTGCGGTGAAAAATTTGTTGAGAAAAAAATCAACAGATATGCATCCTGATAATAAATAGAAAGAGGGCTAAGATATGTTTTTTAAAATAAGTTCAATAGATCAGTATGTTTCGGGTCCCAATTTGACTCTTCTTTACATAGAATCAAAAACAGAAACATGTCACAGAAATTATTACTTCGCAACAAAGCATGTTAGTGAAAAAATAAGTAAAAATGATTAAAACTTGGAAAAAGAAATAAACTAAAAATAATTTATTTTTTCACCAACAAGCTTTGTTGTGAAGTAATAATTTCTGTGATATATTTTTGTTTGTGATTAGTGTATTAATTATGCTTTGTTTCCACTGAAGAAGAGTCGAATTGGAACTCGAAGCACATGGATCTATTGAATTTATTTTAAGAAACACCTTAGGACCTTTCTATTTATTATCTGAATGGATGTCCCTTAAAAAAGCTTTCTGTTTTATAAATTTGAATTTATAAAATATATTTGAAAGTAGTGAAATTTATAAGCTTATTTTTATTGTTTTGTTAATATCTTGCTCATTTTGTTTGTTATTGATAAGATAACTTTAAAATATAAGGTTATAGAAATATAAATAAATTTACTGAAGTTGCTGAATAAAAAGTACCGATATGCACAGAGAACCAACGATAATGTGATTTAGGTACTTGTGGCTGTATTACATATACCCATATGTTTAAACTTTGGCTGATGTTAATAGGATTTGTAATCTTAATATGTACATAGTTATTAATTTTTTCCCAATACTTGTTTTGTGATAGCTGTTATATAATTACAAGTGCAGTTTTATAAATTATTTCTCTTACTTCATTGTTTAACTATACAGGTTGGCAGGCCAAGCAATATGCCCCAAGCTCAACAAGTCATTGACGAAATACAAGAAGAAGCTAAAAATTACAATCGGATATATGTTGCAGGCATTCATGCAGATCTTACAGAAAATGATATAAAAAGGTACGACAACAATTACTATGTTTTTTTTTTTAATTTTTAATAAATATTATTTTCTGAAAACTTCTAAAAGTTCTAAATATTTCCAGAAAAAAAAACATTGTAGATACTGTATAATTTTCAGAAAACTTTTTTGAAGAAAATTTATTAAGAAAGTGTAGTAATTATGCAATATATGTATTATACTTAGTAATTTTAAAATTATTTTTTTATAATATGGAGGATTACATCACCTACAAATTTATAATACAGTATTTGCTTCAAGATACATTACTATTTCTACATTATTTACTATGATCACATTACAATTGTAAATGTTTATTTGTTACATATAAATCTTATAGTTATTATGCTTCAATTTTACTTTCAGTGTATTTGAGGCATTTGGACCAATAACTTATTGCAAATTAGCTCAAGGCAGTTCAGCCCATAGACATAAAGGTTATGGATTCATTGAATATGCTACTTTACAAGCTGCTATTGAAGCAATCAGTTCAATGAACATGTTTGACTTAGGAGGCCAATTTTTAAGGTAAACATATGTTAAGATTTTTAATTTTACACAAATTTATTTAACAACATTACAATGTTTAATTATTAAGCATATCCACATTAGCTTTGTCTATTGCTGCAAAACAATTAATCAATATTTATTTGTATTAAACTTTCACATTAATAAATTTTATTGCGTCAAGAGTGCCAACAAAATGGACACTTAAGATACTAAGCAATTCACCTTCATTATTTTATGATCAACTTATTTAAAAGAACAGTTGTCATCAACATCAATTGTTTTGAAGATTGGCTGGGATGCTTCTTTGTAATTTCCCAATGGAGATACTTTGATTTGCTTGCTAATAGAAATTCTCAACTTATATTTCAAATCACTTAGTCAAATTTGATTAATAGTTCAGTCATTATAGTAAGTTCACCTCGGAATTCAAGATACCCAGCTGTAAGTCTGTAAATACTTGTGTATTGACATCCTAAAAGTTGTCTCAAAACCTACATATGGTTTTGACACCCTACCATATGTAGGTTTAGAGACAACTTTTAGTGTGTCAATATACAAGTATTTGCAGACTTACAGCTGGGTATCTCAAATTCCGAGATTCTTACCTAAAGTTAAATGACTGGACTATAATCTAATTTAAAATATTTCTTTGAAAATTAATTTAATTTATTTTTGTGAGTTAATTTTTCCATGTAAGTTAGCATGGTAGATTTCATACATTTTGCATTAAGGTATTATTATATTTTGTTTAAAATATTTTGAGTTTAAGGGAGTCTTCCTGTGTCATGGCCTGTTTTTTAGGGATATTTTAGGATTTTTTTTCTATGACCAGTAAATATTTAGAGCTTCAAGTTTTTTATCATTTATTAACACATATTTGGACAGTCTAAATATAAAATTTCAGCTAAAAATATTCAGTCAAAATAGAGTTACAGCGCTCTGAACACCCCCACCTCGAAAAAAAGAGCTCCCACTTCCTCCACGATTCCGGCTGATCGGCTTATCTGAAAAAAAAAAATAAACGGCGTTTTAATTTGTAGGCTTAAAAGCACGGAATGAACTACAATCAAATGAATATAAAAGAAATTGGATGTTTTATAGACATTTGAAATAAAAGTTGCAAATTAGTCGTTTTTTTTTTTGTTTTTTGCTATAAAAAAATCGAAGTTTTGAAAATTTTTGATTGATAATAGTTCATTCCATGCGTTTAAACATATTGAGTGTGCCCTGTAAATTTCAAGTAATTCGGTCCAGCCGTTTCTGAGATACAATGGAGGGAAGTTTGAAAAACACAGTTTTGAGAAAAACGCGTTTAAAGATAAAATGATCTTGTACTATATAATATATGTATACTTTTTAAATGGCTGTAACTCAAAAACTATTTGAGATATCGATTTGAAATTTTAATATGTTATTTTTAAAGGTGTAATCTACCGAAATATGAAAAGAAAAAAAAAATCGATTTTTTCAACTCATCACATAGGAAGACCCCCTTAAGATACTAAGCAATTCACCTTCATTACTTTATGATCAACTTATTTAAAAGAACAGTTGTCATCAACACCAATTGTTTTGAAGATTGGCTGTGATGCTTCTTTGTAATTTCTCATTGGAGATACTTTGATTCGCTTGCTAATAGAAATCCTCAACTTATATTTCAAATCACTTAGTCAAATTTGATTAATAGTCCAGTCATTATAGTAAGTTCACCTCGGAATTCAAAATACCCAGCTGTAAGTCTGTAAATACTTGTGTATTGTACCCTAAAAGTTGTCTCAAAACCTACATATGGTTTTGACACCCTACCATATGTAGGTTTAGAGACAACTTAGTGTGTCAATATACAAGTATTTGCAGACTTACAGCTGGGTATCCCGAATTCCGAGATTCTTACCTAAGGTTAAATGACTGGACTATAATCTAATTTAAAATATATCCTTGAAAATTAACTTCCCGTAGGGTAAGTTATTGTAATGGGCCCAAAATTTTTACATTTCTCGACGTTTTGAAGGTTTCTGAACATTTTGGCATACCACAGAAAAAAAGGATGTGTGTGTATGTGCGTGCGTGTGAGTGTGTATGGATACAAACGATTTGAATGGTTCAAAAAACATTCGATTCCTATTGATAGGAAGATGTGCTGATTAGTTTTTGGCAAAGGCAGGTCCAGCAGACGGAGCAAAGAGTGCAGAAAATAGAAATCGAGTTTTTGAGAGATAGGAGCATCCGAAAGGCAGGTCCAGCGGTTTCGGAGATACAGAGCTAAATGTGCAAAAAAAATGTCAGTTTTTGAGAGAACTAAGCGTCCGATTTGAATGATTCCAAAAACTTCTTGCTTGTTTTAGCAAAATAATTGATTTTGAAAAAAAACATTTTTGCTTAAAATTTTTTAATTTTTTTTTCCAAAAAAATTTTTTTTTGGTATATCGAAGATAATTCAGATTTTTATTTTAATTCTGTTCTAATATACTATAATATAATTTGAATGACAAATAATTTCAACTTTCCAATTTAGTTTATATAATTCTTACAAATATTGGACAATGTTACAATATTTATAATAATCTGTTTTAATACATTTAATATTCCTCGAACATTTCGTTACGGTACGGGAAGTTCCAGCAATTTGCCTTAAGGCACGATGCCATACGCCCCACTAGTTTAATTTATTTTTTTGAGTTAATTTTTCCATGTAAGTTAGCATGGTAGATTTCCTACATTTTGTTTGCATTAAGGCATTATTATATTTTGTTTAATATATTTCGAGTTTAAATCCATTTATCCAATCAATTGTATGTGTTTTATCTTCATTAGAGTGGGACGTGCTATAACGCCACCGAACGCTCTCATGGGACCGACAACTGGATCTATGATGCCGACTGCTGCTGCTGTTGCCGCAGCTGCCGCCACAGCTAAAATTCAAGCGATGGATGCAGTTGCTAGTAATGCTGTCGCTTTGGGGCTGCCGAGTTTGAGTTCTTCACCTACAATTCCGTTATCAGTGCCGACGATAGCGGTGCCGCCTATCGCAACGATAACGCCATCAGCTCCCGTTGCTATATCCGGTGCTGTTAAGTTACCAGGTGTCGTCATACCGCCGCCAGGTGTCGTCGTACCTCAAGTCATACAGGTAAATTACTAAAAAGTAAAGTTTTTATTGTTATTAACTTTTCGAAGGAGAAGTCTGTTTTCGCCAGAAAATCCGATTTGCTAATTTTGTTATCTCGATGTTTCAAGTCATTTTCAACCAAATGAGACAAAATTTGGTAAATGTATTTGTGTGTGTGTGTATGTAGTGTAAATATGTAACCCGTCGACCATCCGTCGACGTTATCTCAAAAACGACTGAACCGATTTCAAAAATTTAAGTTATTCAATGTAACTCGAAAAGATATTGTGTGATTTTTGCGCGATCCGTTTTTATGATTAGCAAAAAAAAACTGCAAAAATTATCGTCGGCGATCTATATACCACAATCCTAAATGAACTTTAAAATTCAAAAACTATTTGGAAGTTATTGGATGGAATTTGTGCTAAGTTTTTGGTAGAGATCGGCCGCAATTTTTTTTCGAAATTTTTTGTTGAGATTTTTTTTTGATAAATTTTGTATTGAGAAAGATTTCCTAGAAGAAATAACATGTTAACCCTCTATGGGCCCTTGTAACTTTCAGGTCAATTTCCAGTTTATTAAACTTTTCTCAAATAATTACGACTTTTTCCATAGGATAGCACGTAAGTTAATTTTATAACCTTGTCAAGACAACCAATATAAATATTTATGAATTTTGCTATACTTTTTAACCTTGAATAACAAAGTAAACTGACAACAGTACAGATAAACGAATCAATTAGTTCGAAGTTATATTATTTGTGTTTCTGATAGTAATTACGGAACTAACTAGTGGTGAATGGCATCGTGCTTTAAGGGGGTATTCTAGTGTAGAGCGATGAATTTTAGGTCATTTTTAAAGTGTTGTAAAAGAAAGCAATGAATGTTTTTACTATCCATTTTTACCACTTGTTTATTAATATTATAAAATAAAAATACAATACAATTTTTTTTAAAAAAAAGTTGAAAATTGAAGAAACTGGCAGCAAATAAAAAGATTATAATATATAGTTTATAATTATAATGAAAGATTACAGTCTACAATGATGTCGCAATCGGCCGAACTAGCGATGAATAAAAAAAAAATTTTTTTGCAAATTGGCGACTGTTTGAAAAAAAGTGTCTTTTTTACTGTTTTTTGAGTTTCTCGAATTTTTTAAATATAGTAAAAATTCGAATTTGGGGATGATGCTAGTTCAGGCTACAGATAGGTCTATAAACAAGACTCTCTGAACATTTCAAGTGAATCGGTCGAGTAGAACTCGAGAAATCGTATCAACAGTACTGAAAAAGTCTGTTCTGAGAAAAACGCATTTAAAGTTTTGCTTGAAGTTTTTTGCTGTCAAAGTCATAAAATGATATGTTATGGTATACTTCTGCTTCATGCATCGGACCTTCTTCTACTTCAAAAAAACTATTTAACCCGGATTGTTCAATCCGGGCGTTGTCTCGTCTTACGGCAAATGAGTTTCTGGCCCAATTTGCATTACCACAAGGGTCATCATTTTTGAAATCGGAAAGAAACCTTTATTGAATATGCAAACAGCAATAAATGTTGCTTTTCAAATACCCGAGATTGGGAATGAATATGTTTTGGCGCGAAAATCCAAATCAACGAGTTTAGAGATTCATTATAGTTCTGAGTTTCTGAACCTACACATCGAATTAATAATTCATCTGACGATAGACTGTCTTAAATTAGTCTAATGACTTCCTAATGCCAATCGTTCAATAGTAAGTAAAATATATTATATATATATATATATATATATATATATATATATATATATATATATCTCCGAAAATAATTCAAATTTTCAAAAACCATCTCGTACCCATATTCATAGTTAAACTTTGAAAATATGAAATAAAAGAAAATCGATTTTTTGGAATTTCTACACTAGAATACCCCTTAAGGCAAATTGCTGGAACTTCCCGTACCGTAATGAAATATTTTTCAAATACTGTAACTTATTTATGTTTACAAAAATCTAAATAAACAAAACTTCGAATTCAATCGAATTTAAAATGAAGGACATTGTCTAATATTTATAAGAATTATATAAACTGAATTGCAAAGTTAAAATTATTTTAAGTATATATAGTAAGGTTTAGAACTTTAGCTACAAAATAAATTAGCTCGATTTATTTTCATTTTCATTTAAATTAAAACTCGATTTATTTTCGATATTCAAAAATAATTTTTTTTTAGAAATTAAAAAAAATCCCAAAAGCATTGAATCATTCAAATCAGATGCTTATTTCTCTCAAAAACTGCTATATTTTGCACATTTAGCTTGGTATCTCCGAAACGAGTGGACCTGCCTTTTCCAAAAACTATTCACCACTTCCCGTCATTACGAAATGAATGTTTTTTTGGATCATCAAATTGGATGCTCCGTTCTCTCAAAAACTCGATTCCTATTTTCTGTACTCTCTGCACCGTACTTCTGAAACGGCTGGGACCTGCCTTTGCCAAACACTAATCAGCACATTTCCCTATCAATAGGAATCGAATGTTTTTTTAACCTTTCCAATCGGTTCCAATCCGTGTGCCCGAAAAGGTGGACGAAAAAATTGCGGACACACAAATCACACATGATCAAACACAACATGATCCAAAAAACATTCATTTTGTACTGATTGGGAGGAGAGGTGATTAGTTTTTGGCAAAGGCACTTCAAGCCATTTCGAAGATTATAGAGTTAAATGTACAAAAATTGCAGTTTTTAAGAAAACTTAGCATCCAATTTGAATGATTCAAAAAAAATTTGTTTTGACAAAATAATTGCTTTCGGAATTTTTTTTTCCAAAATTTCATTTCATTTATGTTTCGAAATTTGAATGCTCTTGAATGCAATGTTTTTTATGTTCAACGCAAAATGCGAACTGTTTTGCCACGCATAAATTTTTATACACTTTATATATAGGTCGGTTTTACTTGAAAGTCCTCTAGTTAATATACTATAATAAAATTGCTTAAACAATTTTAATTTCATTTATATATATAGACTCTTAATTACTGATTTTTGTTCCTCTATTTTTCTAGATTTAAAGCAAAAATTCGGCCTATAGAGGGTTAAAATAGTACTGTTTATAGTTGACGCCCCCACATAAAAAAATGAAGTGTTTAACGGATTAATTTAATAAGCACAATTAAAAATATTATAAGTATGTTTGAAATACATCAATTAGAATTCATATTGATTAATTTTTAGTGAAAGTGAAAATTTTAATTTTAATAATTTACCTAAATAGCTGAATTAAATATACCTATCGGGAAATTCATACAATTTGTTTTAAGGCAAAATATCTTCTTAATTTTAGCATATAAATGAAGTTCCTAGATGTTACATAGTTGAACGAACTTTTTTCTGAAACGTGCAAATAATCGACTTAAAATATAAGAATTGAGTTTAGCGTTATATCTTTTCTATACTTATATCTTTTTTTGTATTATTAATGGCGCACTGATACGAATTTACACCACCATATACAATGGCTCTATAAGATTTAATGAATTTCAAAGTTTAATTCAGATGTGAAAAAAAAAACAGAATAAATATGAAATACAAACACATATTCATAGTACTCACACACACACACATCATACACATCTTTTACAAATTAGTCTCAATTTGAGACCCTCTCAAAACATTCTGAATGACTTGAAAAGTATAAAAAAAACGTGTCGGTGTCATTCATTTTTATGGTTGATATAAACACTAATCATTATATTATTTTGGTGCATGTCAGATTGAATTTTACGGTTTATTAAAATTGCATGAAAAGCTTACAAAAGTGTACAGATAATTAAATAATTGCTTACAAAAAACCATACATAATCGAGATTCTAATGTGCGTTTGTAGAATCAAAAAATGTCTTACATTTCAATCAAGATATAGAAGCGAATATGGAATCGGACAGTAAACCATCAGAAATCCCAAAACTACGAAAGACCGTTATTGGATCCAGCAAATACAGCAAGATACCTCGCGAAGAAGGTCGGACCAATATGTTTACATCGGAAAAGGTCTCGCTGCGTTCAACTTCATCAGTTTCTGACTCAAGACAGGAAGTAATATCATCTAGTAATAATGCATCTACAAGCCTCACTCAACCACATTCTGATGTCAAGAAACCTCCTAATTCATGGCAAGTAGTCAATTTCAAAAAAAGAAAAACTTCATTTGAACCATTAGGAATAGATGTCAAAATTCAAAACAGATTTTCGGCCCTTTCAACAATAGACACAGCTAATGACGACAACTTAGTTAAACCGGCCCCAGTCAGTAAGCCCCCTCCAATATTTATTTACGGAGTTGACGATATTAATGATATGTCTAATCAATTAAATGAAATAATTCCGCATGATCAATATTTCCTGAGAAGTTTGGCTAACAATACATTTAAAATTCTATGTAATTCTGTCGACCATTTTCGAACTTTATCCAGACATCTAAAAGAAACTAATGCCGTATATCATACATATCAATTAAAAGAAGAGAAGGCTTATAGGGTTGTTCTTAGAAATGTACACTTTTCGACAAGCACAGATGCAATTAAATTAGAACTATTAAAACAGGGTCATGTCGTACGTAATATCCTAAATATTAGACATAGAATAACAAAAGAACCTCTTAATATGTTTTTTGTTGATCTGGAACCAAATAGAAATAACAAAAATATTTATAACATTTATAAATTATTCAACTGCATAATACGCGTCGAACCACCGAGAAAGTCCAACAACATTATACAATGCACTCGCTGTCAACTCTTTAATCACACCAAAAAATACTGCAATAGACCATTTGCTTGCCTAAAATGCGGTGACAATCATAATACTAACGCTTGTACCAAAGATCCGAATGCTCCGGCATGTTGTTATTTTTGCGACGGTGCTCATCCAGCTAATTATCGCGGTTGCTCATACTTCCAAAAAATTAAAGAACAAAGAAACAAAACTCCAGTAAATCAATCATTCATAAATCCAAATCCAAATAACCAAAATTTTAAAAATTCTAATAATTCTAATTCTAATAATAAAATAAACAACATTTCTCCGGCCTTAAATCCAACAATTCAAAATTCATCCTATGCAGACATTGCAAAAAACAATTACTCTGCTTCTAATCATTCACCTTCAAATCCGGATTCTGATTCTCTAGCAACACTTATTTTAGAATTTAAAAATATCTTCAATCAGCTTTTGCAACAGAACACCATAATAATAAATATGTTATCCACGTTAGTCAACAACAAAAGCAATGGCAAAAATAATTAAAATTGCTGAATGGAATGCCAACGGTTTAATACCTCACAAAAATGAAGTAGAATGTTTTTTAAAGTTAAACTTAATAGATATCTTATTAATCTCAGAAACTCACTTCACTGAAAAAAACTACTTCAAAATTTATAACTACACTACTTATAATTCAAATCACCCAAGTGGCAGGGCTCGCGGCGGTTCGGCTATATTAATCAAAAATAATATAAAGCATTTTGTTCTACCAAATATTTCTGATGATTTTCTACAAGCAACTCAAATTTCTGTTGAAACAAATTTATATAATTTTTGTGTTTCTGCTGTTTATTGTCCACCAAGATTCAAAATTTCTTGTGCTCAGTTTTCTTCATTTTTCTCTCAATTAGGTAATAAATTTATCATTGGTGGTGACTTTAATTGTAAACATATTGCCTGGGGTTCTAGACTGACTACAGCCAAAGGAAAGATTCTTCATGCAGCCATAGGGCAAAATAACCTCTCCTTTGTTTCAACTTGCAGTCCAACTTATTGGCCTTCTGACCCTACTAAAGTTCCAGACCTTTTAGATTTTTTTATTGTGAAAAGTATTGATCTTTCAAATCTCAATGTTGAATCTAGTTACGATCTCTCTTCAGATCATTCTCCAATACTTGTGATGTTTAGCACATTTCCTACTCCAGTTATCAACAATCATATTTTACACAACAATCTTTCTAACTGGATTCAATTCAAATCCATACTTGATTCAAAATTATTTCCAAAATCTAGGCCTACAAGCGTTATTGATATAGAAAATAATATAGATTATTTTTCTGAGATTGTACGTGAAACAACCAAGCAGATCACCCCGAACATTATTCCAAGAAATGATAATCTAATAATTCCGCAAGAGATTAAGAAGCTAATTGCACAGAAACGAAGAGCAAGACGTACCTGGCAACATTCTCATCTACCAACGGATAAGACATCGCTCAATCATCTCAATAACACGCTGAGGAAAAAAATGAAAGAATGGAAGAATTGTACATTCAGGTCGTATATATTGCAGCTAAATAGATACGATAATTCCATATGGAAACCAATCAAAAACAAAAGTAAACCCCTACAACAAAACCCTCCTCTGAAAATAACCAACCAAAACGGATTCATTTGGGCAAAAAGCAACGAAGAAAAAGCGGAGGCATTTGCTGATCATCTAAGTAGCATTTTTAGCGCTCGAAATATTTCCCAGAATAATTTAATTAACAATTTCGTAAATCAACCCATACATTCTACACCGTTAGGACATTTTTCACCAAATGATGTCTTATGTGAAATAAAAAGGATAAAAAATAGATCTTCGCCGGGTATGGATAAAATTACTCCAAAGATGTTAAAAGAATTGCCTACAAAAGGTATCTTATATATAACAAATATTTTCAACGCCATACTTCAATACAATTATTGGCCCACAGCGTGGAAGACTGCAGAAATTATTATGATCGCTAAACCAAACAAAAACCATCACACTGCTAGTTCATACCGTCCTATCAGTCTTTTATCGATATTATCGAAAATTTTAGAGAGACTTTTGTTGCAGAGATTGTCAGAAGATCATCCGAATGATAGTTGGATTCCTCACCATCAGTTTGGCTTCAGAAAAAATCACTCTACAATTCAACAATGCAACAGAACGGTGTCTCGTATTCTTGAAGCCATGAATAGAAAGGAACACAGCGTAGCCGTATTCTTAGATGTTAGTCAGGCTTTTGATAAGGTTTGGCACTCAGGACTCCTATATAAAATCAAAACAACTTTTCCAAACTACTTCAATATCTTAAGCTCATATTTGCTTAATAGAAAATTTAGAATCAAAATTAAAGATGTGACTTCGAGCATCAGAAATATAGAATGCGGGGTACCACAGGGCAGTGTGCTAAGCCCTGTACTTTATCTTCTTTTCACAAACGATATGCCCACAGATGATCTTCTAACCATATGCACTTACGCCGATGACATAGCAATTATTTCATGCAATTCCGATATAAGAACAGCAACTTGTCAGTTACAAAATTATTTATCTAGTCTTGAAAAATGGTTTTTAGATTGGAATATCAAAATCAATATCGAAAAATCTCAGCACATAATTGTTTCTCTAAAACATCACAACAGTCCACCTATCATCATGAACAATTCAATAATTCCACTATGCAATTCTGTTAAATATTTAGGCATGCACATTGATTCGAAATTGACATGGAGAACGCACATTGAATATAAAAAGAAACAAATCCAACTGAAAATAAAAGATTTTTACTGGCTTTTTGGGAGGAAATCTGAAATCTCTCTCGATAACAAGGTACTTTTGTATAAAACTATCATAGTGCCCATTTGGACTTATGGAATCGAACTATGGGGTTGCTCATGCAAATCTAACATAAACATCATTCAAAGGTGCCAGAATAAAATTCTGCGTATCCTTACTAATGCGCCTTGGTATATTTCGAATTTTTGCCTACATAAGGATTTGAAAATCTCAACAGTCAACGAAATGATCAAGATTAGAAGTTCATCTTTTAACAACAAATTAATCCAGCATACAAATCCTACAATTCAAGCGATTCAGAGACCGATAAGAAGATTGAGCAAGAAATGGCCTTCCGATCTACCAAACACCTAGCCCAATGTCTGCACGCGTCCTGACGTAGTACGCGGCATACATCATCACGTCATCGTTCATTTATGTTATTATTTTTGTATTACTGTTTTAATTTAATTTTTATTTTAACTTTTTTCATTTTATATTCAATGTATTGCATTTTTTGTTTTTTTTGTATTTTTTTTTGCTCATATCAATTTTGTAAATAAGACATTAAAGTCTTGATTAACAAAAATAAATTGTAACAAAAAAAAAAAAAAAATTATATTATTTTGTAGTGAAAACAAACTTCTCTTTAAACTTATTGTTCTTTCAAATAAATATAACTCATTATTCCTTCAAATAAATTTAAATTTTTAGCCTCCAGGAATTGTGACGCCGACATCGCAACCAGTTATAATTCCAGTATCAGTATTACCTAATTGTGAATCTTCTCCGACGATGATATCAACAAGCTCACCTGCCACAACAGCCGCATACACAATAACTACACAGAACAATGAAGCCAGGTGAGATTTTAAAAAAAGTGTAGCAGTCATGAATTTAAATTATAAAAGTGAAGTCAAGAACACACCAAAACCAAAAAAAAAATGGTTAGGCTTAAAATATACTTTGAACCTTTTAGAATATGAGGAAAAATTTTCATACCTAAAACTTTCTTTTTTTAACTTCCCGTAGGGCAAGTTATAGTAATCGCAAAAAAATCGAAAATGAAAATTTTTATATATCTTTACGTTTCAGAGGTTTCTGAACATTTTGGCATACCTTAGAAAAAATGGATGTATGTGTGTGTGTGTGTGTGTATGTATGTATGTATGTATGTATGTATGTATGTACGTGTGTGTATGTATGTGCGGATACAAATTTTCGTCGACGATTTCGGGAACACGGATCAACCGATTTGAATAATTCAAAAAACATTCGATTCGTATTGATAAGGAGACGTGCTGATTAGTTTTTGGCGAAGGCAGGTCTAGCCGTTCCGAAGATACGGGGCAAAAAGTGCCAAAAACGGTACCTTCGTTTTTAAGAGAACGGAGCGTCCGATTTGAATAATTCAAAAAACATTTTACTTGTATTGGCAAGATGTAGAATTGATCAAATTTTCATGAAGGCAGGTCTAGCGGTTTCGGAGATCTAATGAAAAAAGTAAAAAAAATGCCATTCGGCGGTTAAAAATGATCATTAGACATATGCACATCAAATTATCAGATATTTTATAGAGATTTTAACAATAAGTATAATTTTTTTTACATTTCTATGGGTTCCGTACCAATGCTTATGCGTCAGACGGCGACGCGGCACTTGCGAGCTTCGACATTTCGTCTCTTTGCAGTTCAAGCAGTGCGACTGCTTTGAAAAAAAGTTCAGAATTTCCAAACTATGTCAAAATGAAGAAAACATTTTTTTCAAAAAATTTTTTTGTTTTAAAAAAAAATTTTTTTTTTCTCAAAAAAAATTTTTTTTTTCTCAAAAAAAAATTTTTTTTTTTCAAATGAAAAAAATTTTTTTTTCAAAAAAAAGTAATTTTTTGTCAAATTTATAGTTTCTCAAAAATCTATTTTTTTGAAGTAAAATTTTTTCAAATCAATCGTTAAAAATAATAATTTTTGGTACGGGAAGTTCCAGCAATTTGTCTTAAGGCGCGATGCCCTAATTGCCTTAAGACAGAATTCCACTTACAGCTAGTTTTTACTTGTAATTATGAGCTTTTACCCATGCGCGTCGGGCTGTTCCGAACCGACACCACTCAAATATATTAACAACTAGCTGTAAGTGAAATTCTGTCTTAAGGCAATTAAGGCATCGTGCCTTAAGGCAAATTGCTGCAACTTCCCGTACCAAATATTACTATTTCTTCAAAAACGATTAACATTTTTGAAAAAATTTTACTTCGAAAAAATTAGATTTTTGACAAACTAGGAATTTGACAAAAAATGACTTTTTTGATTTTTTTTTTTTTTCGAAAAAAAAATGTTTTCTTTATTTTGACATATTTTGGAAATTCTGAACTTTTATCAAACGTACTGCTTTAACTGCACACAGACGAAATATCGAAGCGCGTAAGCGCCCCGACGCCGTCTAATGGATAAGCATTGGTACGGAACCCATAGGAATGGAAACAAAATTTTTATACTTATTGTTAAAATCTCTATAAAATATCTGATAATTTGATGTGCATATGTCAAATGATCATTTTTGACCGCCAAATGGCTCATTTTTTTACTTTTTCCTCCATATCTCCAAAGTCGTTGGACCTGCCTTTCCAAAAATTTGAACAGTTTTTCATTTAGTCAATACAAATAAAATGTTTTTTGAATTATTCAAATCGGACGCTCCGTTCTCTTAAAAACTGAGTTACCGTTTTCGGCACTTTTTGTCCCGTATCTTCGGAACGGTTAGACCTGCCTTTGCCAAAAACTAATCAGCACGTCTCCTTATCAATACGAATCGAATCTTTTTTGAATTATTCAAAGTTGATCCGTGTTCCCGAAATCGTCGACGAAAATTTGTATTTGTTACTTTAAAGTACAATAATTAACTATAAATAACTATCTTTAATATCAAGATTTTTTTACTTTTCTTTCCGCCCGAAAAAAATGGCAAAAACATGTTTTGTCAATAGATTGTGTTTAAATATGTTTACAGTTTCAAGTACTTAGCATACTCTCTCTTTCCCTTCAACAGATGAAAATATTGGATTATCTTGTCCTAGAGTAGCCACACATTATTATGCAACACATATTATACACTTCATAATTAAATGAGACAATTTCAAAATGGGCACAAACTTGTAATTTGTGTTATGGAAACCGTCAATCCTTTTTAAGAATAGAAGTTTACTATTTACTTATTAAACTGCGATATTATTAATCATTTGGCATAGTCTTTTAAATAAAAATATTTTATTTTTTTCTAAATCTTGACTTGAGTTTTTTGATATATTATTTCACTATTGTTTCAGAATGGCGCAAGAACGCCAACAAGAAGAACTTCAAAAAAAACTATTAGATGAAACTGAGCCACAAACTTTACAGCAGCAAGAAACAATGTGCATAAAGGGTCAAAGTGCACGGCACTTAGTTATGCAAAGGCTCATGAGAAGAGTGGATACAAACGTTATAATTTTAAGGAATATGGTAGTAATTCATTAAAAGCAATATATTTTTTTAATTTAATATTTATATATGTATATACATATATATATATATATATATATATATATATATATATATATTTTGATGAGTTATTTAGATCGGGCAGTAACACCAAGTAAAAAAAAAACTAAAGTATTTTTTGAAATACTTTATTCATCCATCTATCGATGGTTTCAGACTTTTTTCTTTCATAAATACTTTTTTGTGATATGAACATACTTCGCAAAAATTAAATTGAACAAAAAATTTAAGTACATAAAAATTTAAATCGTGCTAAATGGAATAAAATCGTGTAAAAAAATTAAAAATATTCAATTTTCAAACTGTGTTATATCAAAACCGTGTACAAAAAGACCGTGTAAAAACAGTCTTAGGTGTATATATATATATATATATATATATATATATATATATATATATATATTATCAACGCCTATGCCGTCTGTCTCATGGCAAGTAATAAGTTCAAGTAAAACTTTTAAGCATAGGCGCACATCATCAAACAATTCACTTGAAAATTCAATAAAAGTTTCAAATAGATTTGACATATTAAATTTGACAACTGAAACATCAAATTCCAATATCGTAAATCAAACATATATATGTGTGCTTTTTCTTTTCACTCTAGGTTGGACCAGAAGATGTGGATGAAACATTGCAAGAAGAAATCCAGGAAGAATGTGGAAAGTTTGGATCTGTCAAAAGTGTAATTATATATAATGAGAGGCAGTCAGAAGCTGTAGATACTGATATTCTAGTGAAAATATTTGTTGAATTTAGTTGCATGAAAGGTAAAAATTTATTTTAAAATGATAAAATAATTATATTGCAAAACAATGACTTGAGAATGTCGAATTTCTAAAGGTTTAAAAAATATTAATTTATTAATTTTATTTAATTTTTTATTTAAGTGTTTAACTTCTTAATTTAAATTAAGAAGTTATATACAGTTAGGCCGAAAAAAGGCGCTTTTTTGATCATTTTTTCTGAGAAAATTTTTAAATCCTTTGAAAAACAAAACTATACACACATAACGGTATCTTTTAACTGTATTTTAAAAAGAGCCGAAGTACTAACTAATTTCATCCAGCTCAGCCATGTTTTCCTTTTCAAATTTGCGTGCATCTTCGAAAATATTCGCCGGAATGATTGAAAATTTCTGTTTTCTTAAATATATTCACAAAATAAAAGAAATCGATTTTTAGAAACCCCTAACAGTAGTTGAATGAATCACTTGACTTATTATTAATCCATATTTTCTTTAAATTATTTCAGAAGCAGAAACTGCTAGAGATGCTTTAAATGGTCGTTATTTTGCAGGCAGGCAAGTCAGTGCACAATTATATGAACAAGCTTTATTTGACCATGGTGACTTTTCAGCGTAGTGTTGGATGTTTTATAATATTAATACAAATAATGTTACATAAAAATGTTTTAATTATTTTAATTTAATTTAAATATGTAAATAATTTTGTAAATAAATGAGTGAAATGAAGGAAATAAATGTTGTCCAATTTTTTCTCAGAAAAGCAGAAAATCGAGTTTTCTAAATTTTCACGTTTTATGAGAATTTTTAGGCAATTTTTGCGTTTTCAGTCAGGCTGTTTTTTTTGGAGGCTTTGTTCCAACCTCAATAACAACAACATTTAATTGGATCTCTCAATCAATGTCAAGGAGGTGATGTGTTTGATTAGTTTTTGGCAAAGGCAGGTTCAGCCGTTGCGGAGATACGAAGCAAAGAGTGCAGAAAATAGAAATCGAGTTTTTAAGAGAACCGATCATCCGATTTGAATGATCTAAAAACATTCAATTGATGGGGAGAAGTGGTGATTAGTTTTTGGCAAAGGCAGGTCCAGCCATTTCGAAGATACGGAGCTAAATGTACAAAAAATGGCAGTTTTTGAGAGAACTAAGCATCCGATTTGAATGATTCAAAAAAAAACTTTCTGATTGAGTTGGCAATACAATTGCTGTTGAAAAATAATATTAATTTCTTTTTTCAAAATTTTTTTTTGTATATCGAAAATAATTCAGATTTTATTGTAATTCTTGCCAAAGTTAATTGTGAAACTCACTTATATACTTTAAATAAATAATTTTAACTTTGCAATTCAGTTAGTATAATTCTTATAAATATTGGACAATGTTACAGTATTTTTAATAATCTATTCAAAAACATTTAATATTCCTCGAACATTTCGTTTTGGTACGAGACGATGCCATACACCACTTGTTGTTTTTATACTTAAAATTGTGTTTTCTTAATTTTTGTTCTTGTTTTCACGCCTCTGAACCCCTCATGTCTCATTTGTTTGAATGGCTTTTTTATACCTCTGCTCCCATCTAAATAATTCTTTTATTAGATATAATTATAAGCATAAGTATTACTTAATTTGATATCATACTAAGTATATAACATTAACGTTCTCATAATTAAATATTGTTGTAATTGACAGGTTTCAAAGCACCCAACAGGACAAGAGGCCGAGACAATCAAACACAAGCTAGACCAGGGGTCGAAGGCAAAACAAGAGCTGTCTGTATCCGCTGATGAAAATAGTCTACACAATGGAGCCAATTGAGGTGGTTGCACCGAAAAATATCAAAAAGGTTTGCCGAAACGTTTTGGAAAACCGAAAAGTATAAATGCCTGAGATAGCTGACACCCCAAAGCTATCAATAGAACATGCTGGATATATCATACACAAATATTTGAATAAAAAAAAACCCTGTGCAAAATGGGTGCCGGTCGAACCAAATTTTGAACATTTGATCAAAGGTATAACGAGTAAGAGTATTTGGAGTTGTTTAATCGAAATCGAGTTTTTGCATTAATACGTTACCATGGACGTGACCTGCCTTCACCACTTCATTCCGGAGTCGAATAGACAATCATCCAAATGTACAAGACACGATGAGGAGAAAAATATACAAACATTCAGCAGGCAAGGTTATGGCATGGTTATGGCGTCAAATTTTTGGGACTTGCAAGAAATGAACTTTATCAACTATCTTGAGAATCGCCAGGCCATCAACTGTGACTATTGTATAATGTTATTGGAACATTTGAAGATCAAAATTGGAAAAACGGTCCCTCTTGAAAATAAAACTGTGCTGCTTCACCAAGCAACGCACCAAGTCACAAATCCGTCAAAATAGTGGCAAAAAAACATGAATTGGGCTTCGAAGTGCTTTGCCACTCACTATATTCTCTAGATCTGTTCCCCAGCAAACATATCCTCATCTCAAAAGAATTCTCGCTGTGAAGAAAATTTTGCCAAATGAGGAGGCGATAGCCGAATTTTGTGGCAAGGCACAAATCGTACTACAAAAATAGTTTCTAAAAGTTCGAAGTTTGCTATAATCAGTATATCGTCTTCGAAGAAAACATATATTGAATAACAAAAAATAATGTTGCCAAAGAAATGGGTTTTCTTAGTCATCCTATGGACTTATTGAGTGAAGGGATATTTAAATAGGAAAAATTGGTTCAAGATACGAACAATTCGACATGCGAGACGAATTAAACTCGTATGTCAGGAACCACCGTATTTTACTAACGTTGCAATTGAATAAAACCTGATTATAGTATTTAATGCATGTTTATTTCTGATTAGGGTCAGTTACATAAATCTTACAACGAGAGTGAAATTTATTTCCTAATAATAGCAAAGCCGGTGCGGGAACTTAGGGAAGGCTGGGCACGGCTGGACCCACTGGTAGAAATCACTTTCTTTATAGTAACTGGGTTGCTGGTGTACATTGACGTAGTTGTTGGCAGTTGCGATGGCCGCTGGGCTATTGTTACCAACGGCGTCGGCGAGTGTGACATCACGAGCGGGGTGACACGGCACTGGGGCGCATGGTGGCTCCTCGTGGAGCACTGGCAGCGGGTACACATCGACATGGGGAATATGGGGATTTATAACTCTTGAATGATAAATCGATTGAACTACCTGAAAATATAATAATGAATAATGCAAGAGTTTTTCAAATAGGAAAGATAATTTATCTTGGATTGGACAACGCCGGGCGAGAGACAATCAAACCTTTTGTTTAATGTGAAATAATGTGTAATACGTATATTGCTTTTAAATATTTACCTATACGGCTAAGATAATAACGATTGCAACAACAAAATATTTCATTTTCTGCTCAGCGCTATGGATTCGTAACTAAATGTTATGCAATTATTTTTTTCTGCTTTTATATATCTAAAACTCAAAGGCAACATATTTACATATTAATTGTTTAATAATTACATTTATTTTTTAGACGATAAAACGTGATAAATTCTGATATCATTTATGCGTCTTAGATGACGCAACAGGTTAGCATACGTGAGAAATATTAAATAACATACATATGCTTAGGTACTATCATAATATCAAATATATTATGTTTTAATTAAAGTAATTATTTATTTACATAAAACATTTTCAAGGTCCAATTCATTGTATTCCTAACTACAAGTATAACCTAAATTATTATAGCAATAATAATAATTGTAAAAATTAATTATTATGTTATATATATTATATTATTATATATAATAGATTAATATAATATAATATATATATACACCTAAGTCTGTTTTTACACGGTAGATTGGTTCCAGAAGAATCCGTGTAAAAAAAAACGTGTAAAAAAAGACATTGATCTTATACAAAAATGGGTGATTTGTTCCTAATCTCTAAAACTTATTAAAATCAGTGAAAAACAAGAGTTTTTAAGAACAAGAATTCATGTTTATTTTATTAAATCAAATATAATAAAAAAATCAAAGTAAAAATTGTTTGTACGCGCTAAAGGGCGTTTTAATTCTTTTTATTTTGAGACTCCATTGGAAACGCATGGCAAAAAGAAAGACCTCATCAAAAAGTGAGTATTTTAGGCAGTGGCGTACCTAGGGGGGGCGGTGGGGGCGGTCCGCCCCGGGCGGCAATTATTTTGGGGCGGCATTTTACTTATATTTATTTTATATTTATTTTCGTTCTTGAATTATAAATGATTATTAACTTCCCGAAGAAGAAGTTTATGTTTTCATCAAAAAGTCCGATACGCTAATTTTATGTTTTCTCGAAGTTTCAAGCCATTCTGAATTGAATGAGACCAAATTCGGAAAAAATATATATGTGTGTGTGAACAGATTTTTCACCGTAAATCGACGATTTCTCAAAAACGGCTGAACCGATTTCAAAAATTTAAAAGCCATTCGATGCATCTCGATGAGGACTAGCGTTTATCAATTTTACGCGAAGATCATCCAAGCCGTTTCTTTATAAATAGCAGAAAAGTGAAAAAAATTTCGTCCACGTTTTAGCCCGCAATTCTGAATCGATTATGAAAATTCAAAAACCGTTCGAAAGATATTGGTTGGTATTCAACCTGACTAGTTGTTGTTAAAGATCGCCCCGGCCGTTTTCTTGTATTGAGTTGTTAAAAAAATCGTCGATTTTTATGATTTTTTTGACGGTAGATACCATAGTCTTATAGATCAAACTAAAATATTACGGCCCTACGACAAGTCGTTTAATTTTAAAAATTCGTCAAAGTCTGCAAAAATTATTTTCCATTTGTCAAAATTAGACCTTTCATCGACGTTTGCTCAAAAACGCCTGAATTGATTTTATAAATTTAAAAGCCATTTGATGTAACTCAATGATGACTATCGTTTGTCAGTTTTCTGAGACGATCTGCCGAGCCGTCTCTTTGTATTTTGGAAAAAAAAGTGTTAAACTTTTCGTACACATTTGAGCTCATACTACCGAATCTATTTTAAAATATCAAAAATTGTTCGAAAGATATTAGTTGAGAATGATACTGATTAGTTTTATGTAGAAATCTAGCGAGCCGTTTTCTTGTATTTAACTGTTGAAAAAAAAATCAAACCGATTTTTATGGAACTTTTCTTGACGATATATATCATGGTCTTATAGAACTTACTGAAATATTACGGCCTTACAACAAGTCGTTTAATTTTAAATATTCATCATAGCTTGAGAAAATGATTAGTTTTTTTTGACGTTTGTTAAAATTAAAATTAGACGATTTACTTGGTATAACGATAATAGTTCTTGGTCTTAGTGAACATACTAAACCATTAAAGTCTTACGGAAATTGTTTCAATTATAAAAATTGTTAATTTTTGAAAATTTGCTTTTAGGAAATACTCCGAGTTAACTTGTTCGTTCGTTATCAATGATGTGTAGTAAATCCACTCGGAATACTTTTAATCACTCATAAATAAATTTATTTTTTATTGATGAAGTCGATTATTTACACAGATCGGAAAGTTCATGTAACTTGCCTCAAGACAAAATACCAATACCAACTAGTTTACTTTTCTGTAAACATATATAAGTTACAGTATTTATAATAATTTATTTGAAAACATTTAATATTCCTCGAATTTTTCATTACATTACGGAAGTTCCAGCAATTTGCCTTAAGGCACGGTGCCATACACCACTAGTTA